AAATTTAGGAAATTTTGCTAATTTGTTGTCAAATTACAGCTCAATATAGAAACATTATCATTGTTCTCTTGTTGTAATGTCAGGATTTCCAAGAGCCAGACATCGACTGGGATGTTGCAGCTGAGTACAGCCCAGATGTGGACGGTGCTGTTGTGGTCCCGGAGTTCGACAGTCCCCTCACTGAAGAGCATCATGCTGAACTGCAGCTGCTACTGGCACAAAATTGGGAGCATTCAAACACGAAGGAACTTTATTTATTGTGCAGAGAATATGTTAATGCTGTTTTGTCGGATTAATGTGTACTTAAAATAAAAATCAAGAGATCAGTTCCAGTGCTTTTTTAATGTTACAAAAGAAATACAAACATGTATTTGAAATGGCAATAGGCCTAACTTTATTGATTCATGTAACAATGTTGCTTTCTAGCCCCAAAACATTGCATGATTTAACAAAACAATTTGTCTTTTTGGATTCAAAGTTAAATTTCAACCATTATACAGTAACCTGAACCCAGAACAGTGGCCATCTTGTTTTCACTTAATGTCTGCTAACACCAAATCCATCACAGACTGCCTGAGTAAGCTGACTTTCAAAGTCAGTGTATGTAGTGACGTGCCGTGTAGGTAAGGTGATAGCAACAGCACATGCATTAACAGCAGGAAAGCACAAAGTGTGGTCCATACCGGGTGGTAATGTCGTGATCAAAATGTACAGTTATCTTGTAAAATTCTTTGTTAGTGGCACATGTGCCTGGCCTGAAACCCACTGAAAACATCCACTGACAATTGTTTTGCTCCACAGCCATCTGATGGGGTCCCATCTTGGTCATCTGTTCCTGAAGGGTGGGAAAAAAAAAGATCCGTGTGTCACTAACATTGAGTAAGGTCCAAAGAGCTAACCATTAAAAACGAAGGTGGGAATACTAAACAAAAAACATCTACACTAGGTCCAGAGCTAGCATTGGGGACGAGTGATATGTTAGGGTAAAACTCAAATCTGGTGAGGCCATTTTATAAAAGTTGTAGCTATCGTGAATAACCTAACCCACCTAGCTGTGTGCCCCTGTTGTAACATAAAATGCGAGGAGTCGTAAAAAGTAGCATAACAAAACAATTTTATGGAATAAACTGCAGCTATTAGCCTTGAAAAATAACTTACTTGAGCCTCTTGTTGGTTCTGGTCCATTTTGCTGGTGCAGGTGGAACTCCCGCTCCAGATCAGAGCCGGCGGGTTTTAGGCAGGCTGGTAGTGCGCAGGCGCAGATGCGGCAGCCACACAGGAAAATCCACAGCGCAAAAACGAGCGCACCCCAAAGAGGTTTGTTCCCGCCCAGTCCCAAAAGTCTTTCTATTGGCTGAGCGGTTGCTAGGAGATTGTACTTCTAAGTTTTGAGCGAGAGCAGACCAGATCCGTGAGAGCAGAGGACAGACTTGTGGGAGGAGTTTTGATCCGTGCAGAGAAAAAGTTGTCACGTGAGTAGACAATACCAGTGTAAAAAGGTTAAATCTGAGCGCAGAAACAAAGATTTGAAGGAGAACAGAGTGAGTTTGAAGGAGAGCAGACATTTTGAGCGCAAGCATGACAAGTTTTGAGAGCAATAATATAAAATCTTATTCTGAAATTAAAAAGTTGGTCTCTTGATATGAAATTCTGCTCTCAAATTGAAAGTTCAAGTGCTCAATTTCTGGTCCTTTAATTCTTCCACGCCTCCAGAGTGACAAAACTACCAACAGCCGAGCGAGCAGAATCAGAAACCAAGCGTGCAGAAAGGCTGCCACACGCGCAGTGAGGCTGCTGCACCGAGCGCGCAGTGAGGCTGCCACGCGCATGTTTTCCTCTGCCGTGTGCTCGTTGCCCAACGCGCGCACGCAGGTTTGTCACTTGTGCACATCCTTGTGCGCTCACAGACACAGTTTGCTCCCTCTCAGTGAACAAATGACCTCCTTGCCATGTATATTTTCACTCGTGAGTTCTAACCTCCACGCGCGAGTCCCGTTCGCACGCGCGATGTGTACAATACGCGTGCACGGGTTTTGGCTACGCTTGCACGGGTTTTGGTTACGCTTGCACGGGTTTTGACGGAAACCTGACACCATATAGAAATTAATAAAATATTTTGCATTAAGTATACAATTCACAAGACTAGTAAACTGATATTGACCATACACTAATCTGTAAAGAATATGCTGTAAACACAAAAGCAGAAAAGTTTGGCTTTAGAAAAAAAGTTCAGACAAATGAAACCCAGCAACAGCTTTTATTGGCCTTACAAATACCTTCCAAAAATAAAAATGTCCACACAGTGAGATGAGTCCAGAGCTTTTCTGAATTTCTCCGAGTATATGAGCAGTTCCATGGCATAGGACATCAGCTGCCTCTCACTAATGAGACAAAGATAAATAGCAATTAGTAAAAATGACATTTACACCTAGAGGCTGTCATAAACAATGTGAAAACAATACATATGGGCATTAGCACTGTTCTTGTGTTGGTAGAATACCTCCGGGCTACCACATTGCCGTCGTGAGTTTGCTGCTTATTAGATGAGGAGTCATAAACGGTCAAATAAATAGCCTATTGCTACGTTTATTTTGGCCAAAAGGCTTGCATGTAGCCCATTAAAAATTATATTAAAAATATTTTGCGTCCATGACGTCTTCCCCCACTGCCAATAATGCTTAATTTTATATAAAAGTGTTTCAGAAAAAAATTACGATTGCGCTATCTATCAAACTATGTCTTAAACGTTCAAATTTCTAGTACAAAATCTTCGCAAGTTGTAAAAATATAAATCTGTCATTACCTGAACCGTCATTTCCATCTGTTGCAACACGCATGCGAGTTCTCGTCTTCGTACATGCACGCGTGTTTTGTACGTAGTGGCGTGTTTGGCCGGGGCTGCGTCCGCAGCTAGACCTTACTCGGTGGAGGGGAAAAAAAGGCACTTCAGAGTTACCCCCCCACCAGGAGGGCAGCTTTGCTCTGCAAAAAATGCACAACAGAAACCTTCTCTGAGCTCAGGAAATCATCCATTTGCCCCAGGCAGCTCTGTAATTTTCCAAAATATCAGATAAAAGCTTGCACCAAATAGCAGGAGTCTGGTAATCATGAACCCAATAATCCAGGGGTGTCAAACTCAAACTCACACGGGGCCGAAATGAAACTCTGGGACGGAGTCGAGGGCCAAACTTAATATTTTTTGAAAAAGTGACGGCAAATTTGCACATTTTCTTTATCAACATATATGCAATTTTGAACCTTTAAATTTGGAAACAAACTTATTTCTGCATTAACACTGAATGTGGAATAACCAAATTACACACGAGCAAGTCAGTTTTAAATAAAAGGCATCAGTGGTATTCATTACTTGTGGTATAATCAGCATTTTAAAATCTATTCAGGATTTCTTTTCTTGTTTATTCATTTTTCTTATTTTTTATTCTCCTTTTTTCTCCTGTAATACGTGTCATCGCTGCTGTGACATCTAGCCTTCCCCACTGAGGAACAATAAAGGGATTTTCTATTCTACTCATCTATCTGCAGCCTTTCCACTTCCTGTTTACTGTAGGTTAAATCTTTTCTCACGGGCCAACAACAAAATAAAAATATAATTTTATCTTAAATGAAAATGCAACATCTCACCTGTTAACTTTCATGTTTTGGAGCAGAAAACGAGCATAAAACCAACATATTTAAAGCTCAGTTTGCGCCACTGGTTTACTGTGATGCTCACCTGTTCCAGCCAGATACCTGCATCATGGGGTTGATCTGAGCTGAGGAGGAGACTCCTGTTGTTTTGTTCATCTTCATCATAATAATGACAACATTAGATGACAACAGGTGCTCACATAGGTTTGTGCTGATGAACATGTCTGAGCAGCTTGACCACGTTGTTGTGTGTCGGGGAGGAAACACAACGACAGCAGCCACAGAGCCGTGCTGGTTTGAGCGTGTCACTGTTCTCTGGAGTTATATCAGCTCTGTCTGGACGTTAGTTGGAAAACTTTCTCTTTCAGTCGTGAACACATTACTGAGCGGCTAGAATCTCCGTTTCTGGGCTTCAACGTCAGAAAACAGCTGAGTGAACTCGGCGCTGAGTGAGAGGAGTGTAGTTTGTCCGAGACAGCGGAGCTGCAGAGACCGGCAGCAGGTGCTGGAAAAAACACAAAGGAGGGGGCGCGTCGGCTCCACGCTAACGCCGCAAAGCATCATGGGAGTTGTAGCCTTTGCGGTAAAATCGGCCAGCGGGCCAGTTTTAATATATTTTTGATATTTATCTCGCGGGCCACATAAAAATGCTCCGCGGGCCGCATCTGGCCCACGGGCCTTGAGTCTGACATATGTGCAATAATCCATATGTCTTCCACGGAGAGCAGATAAAGACTCATTATATCTCACTTCTTCCAGGAATCCATAATGTTTCCAACTGGGTTCGTTCCCTCTGGGCATTAGGGTGCTCCCCCGCTCTGTTCTTAATGTAGAGAAGGTTTTATCAATCGCATTCAGGGACCAGCTCACTAGATCCGTGGTTTTATAAGAATTTAGTTTTCAGGAGGAATGCAGAGAACTCTCTGGTGGACAGAGATGGAACAGAGAGCCTTGGGAGATCAGGGAGGAGAGGAGAAAAGCGTCTGCTCTCTTCAAGAAGCGGACTCTTCTAAAAGCTGTTTAAAAAAAATCCATAACTGCTTTCAGTGTGAGTTTGTCGTTATCAACCAAATTATGTCAACACATAGCTCAGAGGGAACACTCCAGGCCTTTTCTCATTGCCAGCACCAGATTTGACAGCATAAATATTTGTTTTTATTTTCTATTTACTTTTATTAATGAATCATTTATCTATATATGGGCAATACCTCTCCTTCAATTAGATTTTATTGGTATTGGGGAATAAAAACAAGCCTATTTTATCCTTTCGATGGCCAAAAGTTACAAAACCTCTGCCATGTAGCGCCTTCTAAACGACGCTGTCCTGTCTGAAAACGCATGTTTTTGTTCAGCTGATAGAGCGAGCAGGCCGGGCGGCAGAAGATGAAAAGGTGGAGCAGAAGATGGCAGAGAGCTGGGAGGAGTTGAGTCTAGTCTCTGCTTCTCCAACACTCATCAGGAAGGGCTTAGAGGGCGTTGTGATGAAGCGTGTCACCAAGGCAACCAGGCAGCAGAAAGGTAGGCGTTTACTATGTGCTACTTTCCTCATTTAACCTACAAATATTCACGACGACTGCTCTGTCATTCAGCTGACCTCTGCCGTATGCCCGACCTGTCTTCTCCTGAGGTGCAGCCCAAACCTGAGACCAAGAGACTCCAGCTGTGTGTGCTCACCTTGCAGGTTTGTTTCTGTTTGTATGCACAAGGTCATCTGGTCAACGGTCTCTGACTGTCTCCGTCAGACAGATCATTTGTTTTCTAACTAGTGAGTACAGGCAGAAAGCACATTAATCCACATCAATCAGCCATAACATTATGACCACAAGCTAAAGTAGAAAGTAAAGCAGCTTGTCAAGTTAACACTGGTGTTGCTGTTGTTCGTCTGCTTTCAGCCTGCCTGACCTTTTCTGCAGAAATGTTTTCTTGGTTTGGTTCTAAAGTCTGAATAAATCCAGGAAAGTGTTCACACCTGAGAGCTGTCATCGTTCCTTAGAGTTGTTGTTTCCACGGCTGTATTTGTTCTTTTTCCATAATACAAGTTATGTTATCAACAGTGACTCAGCCGGTTTTTAAACTGTTCACCTGCTCAGGAGCGTCTGCAGCAGTACTACAGCTCTAGGGCAGCACTTGCTCTCCCTGAAGTCCAGCGAGCTCAGGCTCTGGCTCTGGATATCTGCACAGAGATCCAGGGTTTCCTTCATAGCCGTCATCCCGATATGCCTTTGGGAGAAATGAGCCTTGGAGGTTCTCTACTGGACGACTTGCAGGTAGATGTGGAGAAATTAGCCTGGCCTGCCAGACTCGTCCTCTGTTTAATTCTGCACAGAGAGAGAGTCTGGTAACTCACAGGCAGAGAGGCACTTGAGGGACGGGACTAGGCAGCTCAAAAATAACCAATCAGAAAAAAGACAAAAATGCCGACTCTATCGCAGTAGTTGTTTTAGATGTAGTAAGAAAAGGCGTCTGGCAACGGCAAAAACGTCTTTTAAAATTTATTTTATTTTTAGAAGAAAGGCTTTTAGCGCTTCTACTTGTTGTGGTTTTAAAGACGTGTTCAAGTCATTCAGAACAGAGGAAAGAGCCGCAGCGAACTCCGCTTCAGTCGCCATGTTTACGACAACCTCAGCGTTGTGGTGTACGTGTGTGACGTACGCTACTCAGCGCTGATTGGCTCGGTTAGAATTCTCAGGGGGTGGGGTTATTTGAATAGAAGAGTTCCCAGACCCTTTCCCTGTGCAGAATTAAACAGAGGAGGAGTCTGGCAGGCCAGGCTATGGAGAAATACCTTTGACTTCCCTGTAACTTGGACATTTTATGGTTTAGCAGGATGCTACATAAATGCTACATAACCCCCCCCCCCAAGCTTTTTTTTATGTGATTGTGACTCTTTAGGTGGTCAGTGCAGACCATGCATGTTTGCTGGTGCCGCTGCAGCTGGAAGCTTCCCTGTGGCGCCTCATCCCAGGAGAGGAAACACTCCTCACACACCCTCTGCACTGGATGGTGCGGCGAGTCAATCTGGAATATTTTCCCAGAGGCCGCAGCTACTGGGACAGGTACCGCGTTTAAACTCAGAAGTGGTGAGTGCTGGTTTGTGTTGGCTGTACTCATCCTGGTGTCTGGTAGGTATCTTGTGGGTGGATACCTGTCAGCAGAAGCTGTTGTGAGCATGTTCACCAAGGCGGTGATGGAAACGGTGAACTGGCTGTCTATCAGCAGCACTTTGGACTGTCTGGTCAGACCTGTGCTGGGAGGACCAGACCTGAGACTGGAGATCAGGTGTGTTTGTATATTTGATGCTTTGCTGAAGTGTTTTATAAGCAGGTATGGCTTTCATTATGCAAAATTATTCCATTTTAAATAATACTGCTGACTAAAAAAATCACTTAAACAATTTAAATAGGTCTGAAGGGTTAATTTTACTGAATACATTATAGAATTTTCTCTCTCTAACACTCTCTAGGCCTGAAAGTGGAAAAGAAGGAATGGATATGAGTGATCAGCCTCTGTTTGTCTCCATGTTGCCCGTCCTGAGGGAAGGAGATGCAGTCCTGACAGCTCAGCCAGAGCTCACCTCTCCCTGGGTGAACGCCTGGCGTCTCTCTCTTTACCCCTGGGAGACTCAGCGTCTGGCTCAGCTCGACATGGCGGACAGCGGCTGCCGCAGACATACACTGAAGATCCTGAAGGCGGTGTGCAGACTGAGTCCGGCCCTGCGACCGCTTGAGGCCGCCCCGCTGGCAAACCTCATTCTGCACCTCAGCGACAGTGAGAGTGACTGGTCTGAGAGCAGCCTGGATGTCAGATTCCAGCAGTGTATCACTGAGCTGATTAGCCACCTTGAGCAAGGTGCGCTACACAGTTACTTCAAACCTGCCGTCAATCTGCTGAGCAGCTTGTCAGAGGATCAGGTGGACCAGATGGGCTTCATGCTGTACTGCGCCGTGTCAGACCCAGAAATTCTGCTCATCTAACTCCGTGCACATCCACATTCCACCAGCTACGGAGACACAAAGGACAGGAGAGCAGCTGCAGTGAGATGTCGGACAACATGAAGTGATGTGTGCACAGCAAAAAGTCTGATAATTAATCAAACAGAACAAGTTGCAACAAAGAAGACATGTGCCAAGGAAATGGTTAAGGAGGTGTTAATAAAAGCACTTCAGGATGTGCTTAGGCTGCTGTATTTCATTTAGTTTGATTGTGTTTAAGTTGAATGATGTTCTTGTGTTTTTTTTGTCTTTTAAAAGTGTGTCTTCTGTTGATTTCAATATTTTTAAATCTTCCTATGCAGAACGACAAAAACAAACCTCTGAAAAACACTGATTTATTGAACTTATGTCATTTGATCATAATCATTGTTTCGTTTATTAAGCAGGGAGTTAGATTTCTTTCTTTTTTTCTTTTCTTTTGAATATTTGCATGTCTATTTTGGGGAAATTAAGCTTGTAAGTAATAACTGATAATTAGTTGCATTTAGTTTTAAATGCAGTGTTAATGTCGTGTGTGTGTGTGTGTGTGTGTGTGTGTGTGTGTGTGTGTGTGTGTGTGTGTGTGTGTGTGTGTGTGTGTGTGTGTGTGTGTGTGTGTGTGTGTGTGTGTGTGTGTGTGTGTGTGTGTGTGTGTGTGTGTGTGTGTGTGTGTGTGTGTGTGTGTGTGTGTGTGTGTGTGTGTGTGTGTGTGTGTGTGTGTGTGTGTGTGTGTGTGTGTGTGTGTGTTGGAACACAAATCAAATGACTGCTTCTGATTTGAGGATCAGCAACTTTAAAAAGTATTTTTTTGTTTCGGTAACCATCAGGAACAGATGGATTCAGATGATATTTTGTTAAATTTCTTTTTATTATGATTATTTATGATGGAGAAATCATAAGTCTCCGCATCCTAAACAAAAAATGGTTTTAAAGTTTTGAATTACAGATTTCAGATCAAATCTGACCTGTGCACTGCTGCGGAAAAGATATTTTCGGAAGATTTTTGACAAACAACTGCAGCAGATGAGCAAACTTTCAATCCTCTGTAATCCTCTGGTCAGCTGTTGACAAATCTGGTAAACAAATTCTCTTTTCAGTCAGATTTCTTGTTCATTGTTTCCAATCCTTATGCTGTTGAGCTGATCCAGTCAGATATCCATCTACAATGTGTCAAAGGAACCCCACTAATAATAAAACAACTTTTGAAAGAAAATAAATGTATTTAAACTTTTAAACTAGTTTTATCTTGGGACTTTAAGTAATGCATATGCTGCATTTCTATACTCTTTAAGAACATCTTTGTATTTTTCCTGACGTTGCTGCTGCTTTTCATCTGTTTCCTGTTGTTTTTGTTACTTGACTGTTTATTTTGCTTGATTACTAGGTTTAAACATGACCTCTGTACATGATTAATTGTTTAAATTACTGGTATTTACTTACTGAGAATCCACTGAAAAAACCCAAATAGATAAACTAGATCAATGCCCACATTTTTTTGTGAAATAGTATTTACAAGGCCTGTATTTGTTCCAAACTTTAGAAAACACTCATACACTCAAAGGATTTCAACTATTATATTTAAATAGGTCCTCCTGTGTGAGGATTAGTAAACTATGCTTCATTTTGCTTGTCGGGATAATGTCCTTCAAAATAGGTAAAAGTATTTAAGTGAGAAAATAAGTTGAAAATGTTACTATTTTGAACATTCAAGCAGAAACTGAAGAAGAAACGCGATTCACGCTTCGAGCCAGTTCGTGGCGGTGTTGCACGACATCGCTCTTAGCAACTGCAACAAAAGCGTAAAGAAGAAACGGAACTTCCGGTAAAGCTAGGCTTCGGTCGGTACGCGCGTGAAACAAAGTTTGTTTTGGTGTTCAAGCTTTTCAAGGTGCGTAAACTTTGACGCTCACAAGTCAAACGTACATGTTGATTCATCTTACTTCGGGACAAAATGTTTTGGGGTTAAGTTTGACGAGCTAACTCTTACTTTACTAAACCCAAAACTTAAAAAGCCACCTCGAATGAACGCTAGCTTACTAGTTAACGAGGCTGTTTTCAAAGGTAAAGAACATTAAGTTAAAAATGTCCAAACGAGCTGGATAAAGGGGACTTGATTCGACTTTTGGCGAAGGACAGAAGCTTTCATCTGCGTTTATTTACGACTGCCTAACAGTTATTTTCTGGCTGTTTATATTGTAACAGATTAATGATGAACAGTGATGAAGTAATCATCCTCAGTGATGATGATGACTACGACGAGGACAAAGAAAAGGACTGCATTGTAGTTGACGTGAATAATGAGAAGAAGCCTGGTAGAAACGCCTTTATTTCGCACCTTTCTGCTTAAGTGGGATTAGGATGTTAACAGCTGTTCTTTCTGGTTCAGAGTCCGTCTCTTCTTTAAGCATTCAAGATGAAGATCTGGTTGTTACCTTCTCCCGCCAGGCTGATGTATTGCCTCATGCTCGCTACGACTGTCCTGTTGTCCCTTTCACGTGAGTAAACAATCATGGCACCACACTAAAATAGGTCAGAGGGCCCCAAAAGCACTTTACAATCATTCAGACATTGATGGCGATGAGCTACACTGAAGCCCCAGCTACCCTGAGGCACACCGACAGACCACATAATCAGTGCCACCAGTCCCTCCAACCACCACCAGCAGCCAAGTGTCTTGCCCAAGGGCACAACGACTCCCATGAATGGAACCTGTGTTAGAAATGGCAACCCGATGATGATGGGTGAACTCCTAACCCTTGAGTGACCACATGACTTGTGTACAAAGTCACACTGCTTCTCTTCTGTCCACCCACAGGCTCACATACAGTGAAACTGAAGCTCCAGTGGCTGGCAACAAACTCTTCTGTGAGCAGTGTTACTGCTACATCTGTGACAAACTGGCGTCGTTGGTGAGAGGATTAATTATTGACACAAATCTGTCTCATTCACACTCATAATCTCTTAATGGGCAGAATTAAAAGCATGTTTCTTATTCTCTAGTTTGCATATCTTTTAAAGGTGTGGAACGCTGAAAATCCTTTTTTAAAATGATTATTTCTGATTATAATTGGTCAGTGTGTTTTACATGCAGGCTGAACATGAAAATAGTTTATCTCCTGCATTAGCTTCTAATGGAAAATAGATAAGTAAAGACTAGGATTTGAAATTTCTGGCAGATGTACATCACAATGACACAAACAAGCACATGTAAACACGTTACAATCAATCAAAGCTTTATTTATAAAGCGCCTTCCGCAACCCTGTCAGGAAGCCCAAGGCGCTGAACATGGTACAGTAGAAGTACAAATATAGTGAATAAATCAAAAATAAAAGCAATTCAGAAATAAAAGCAATTCAAATTACAAAATACAAATTACAAAAAAGTTGAAACATTCTAGTACAGGACAGATGGGTAAAACAAGGGATAGAGTGAACCAATGAAAACTTTGAAAGAAATTCAACGTAAAAGAGGGCCGAATCAAACATGTTCAGGAAACGCCAAGCGGAGGAGGTGTGTTTTTAGGCGACTCTTGAAGGCTGGCAGAGATGGGGACAGCCTAACTGAGGGTGGCAACTGGTTCTAGAGAGACGGTGCTAGTACTGAGAAAGCCCGGTCCCCGCGAGTACGACACCTAGAACGAGGGACAGCGAGCAGGCCTTGTTCAGAGGAGCGCGTGATGGGGAATGTCTGTTCAGGAGTGTGGCTAGATAGGGGGGAGCTCCACCCTGGAAGAAATTGTAAACAAAGATGAGGATTTTGAATTGTGCACGATAGCGAACCAGAAGCCAGTGCAGGGAGGCCAGAACCGGACTGATGTGGTCCCGTTTCCTGGTCCCAGTCAGGAACCTTGCTGCGCTGTTCTGCACAACCTGTAGGCGACGCAGTGTTGACTGACACAACCCTGAATAAAGAGAGTTGGAGTAATCAAGCCTAGAAATAACAAAGGCATGCAGTACCCGCTCCAGGTGGGCTCTCGACAGCATGGGCTTGATTTTTGCAAGGCGTCTCAGGTGAAAGAAACTGGACCGGATCACAGAATTGATGTGAGCATCAAATTTAAGTCCAGCATCAATTTTCACTCCCAAACTGGTAACAACTGGTTTTGAGTATGGAGAAAGAGGGCCAAGATCAACATAACAACCCTCATTCCTGCTGTTGGGGTGAAAAACAATGAGCTCTGTCTTTCCCTCATTCAGATGCAGATAATTGGCTATTAGCCAAGACTTCACCTCATTAATACAGGACACAAAGGACTGGATAGAGTGACCTTTCTCCTGACACAACGGAGAGTAATTGAGTGCGTTTACATGCAGCCAGTAACCCTTTTAAAACCCGAATATTCACAATAACCCGGTTCCGCAGGTCCATGTAAACACCGCCAAAAACCCGGAAATGCTCATAACCGGGTTTTTAAAAACCCGGTTACTACACCTGGGGTAACCCTTTTCTAACCCGAATGTTTGGTCGTGTAAAAGCATATCGAGATATCTCCATCAAAGCGTGTGTTCTGTGCATGCTCTGTTCGCAAGGAATCTTGGTCTTTTGAGTAGCGAGACGTCTTGTATGCGCCAGAACACCGGAAGTAAACAAGTTGGGAGCAACATGGCGAGTTGCGGCACAGCACCACACTTTTGGAGTGACGAGGAAACTAAAGCGCAAACAAACGCGGTTGCTATCTCTTTCGAACTGGGAAACATGTTGTTGTTTTCACAGATGCCGGAACAACAAGAACCGGAAATGAGGCATATTGCGTCTGGACGTAGTCCATACGTCCTGACGCTACCCCAACGTCCGCATTTAAATCGGGTTATGCAAGTTAGGGGTAACTCTTTCTATTTATGCTTGTAAACGGGTTATTCTGATCAACTCCGAAACCCGAATACCGACCTTAACCCGATCATAACCCGGATATTGGCTGCATGTAAACGTAGTCAGTCTGGCAATCGTCAGCATAGAGATGAAATGATAGGCCATGTTTACGAAAGAGTGACCCCAGAGGTAGCAGATAAATGGCAAATAAGAGGACCAAGGATCGATCCCTGCGGGACCCCCCAGCGGACAGTTTATACTTCTCCGTTTGCAGAGGTGCTGAGAAAAACAATGCTGTTATCTGTGGTCGCAAGGGCTTTTCAGCACACATGCAAGGATGGTGGGAGTAGAGCCCAATTTTCTAACTATCTGTGAATAGCCATGGACACTGGAAGCCTGTGATTGGTCAGGAAGCCGCTTCATTTAACTTTGTCAACAGCACCGCCATCCTCGTCAAAAAAATAAAACAAGAGCTCAGCCGAAGATGTCCAGCGGCAGATTTAAGTATGCTGAGTGGAAAAAGTCAGACGATGTAAGCGTTAATAAGTCCATGACTGAAGGAGTACAAAGATATGCAGCAAACTTTTTGCTGCGTATCCCCTCATGCCAGGAAATGACGGGAAACGTGGGTTTGGAGGTGGTGACTGGATGAAGAGGTGGAGAACAATGAGGGACAAATTCGTCTGTGTTAAAAGTCTGAAATGCATGATCCCAATATAAACACACAATAGGGAGCCTAAAGCCTGGTTTATGCTTCTCCGTCAGCTCTGCAAGGGACAGACACGCATGGATTAACGGAAGCGTTTTGCTCTTTTACTTCTCCGTCTCCTGGAGAGTGTTGCAAAGCAATTGCCCGGCAGGACCACAGAGGGAGTAGCACTGTTCTGTGGTATCCTGTCATGTATCGGTCCAAGATCGTGTGTTTATATTGTGTTTTTTGTGTATATAAGAGACTTTTAACACAGACATATTTGTCTCTCATTCTCCCACCTCTTCATGCGTGCCCCACCTCTAAACCCACGTTTCCTGTCATTTCCGTCCACAAATAAAACGCTTGCCGCACATCTTTTCACTCCTCCAGTCACGGGAGGATGAAATATTCATATTTTTAGAGTTTTTTTGCGAGGTATTCTTCAAGCTTCTCCGTGTCTGCCGCTATTTAAACTCGGCTCTCTTTGCAATGGTGGCGCTGTAAACAACAGCGGCGTCCTGACCAATCACAAGCTTGGGTAATCTGTTTCGTTCGACGGATGTTTAAAAAAGTGGGCTCGACTCCGTACGTACTTGCGTGCCTGCCGGAGCCCTACGCAAGGACGGATAATGGCGTTGCGTGTCTCCGCACTGACGCAGATGGAGAAGCATAAATCAGGCTTTAGTCAATCCCATCTACTTCCAGACCACGGGTATCCGGAAGAATGAAAAAATTAATGCAAGTCAGTGGGGCTAAAAATACAATTTTCTAGTTTGCGCTTGTTTTGTACCATGGATTTCACATATGATGTCTGTGAATTTTAAAGAAGCTTTTTGATACCAAGAATGTGCTTATGTATGCGTATTTGAACAGGGGGAAACGCTATTTTAGGTTTTGTGTGAAAATAAGTCCAGGTCTACAAATGTGCTGCAGGAAAGTGACGTAATTCAACCAGGCACGGAGAAAACTGAGGGAAAAGAGCTGTAAGTTCAGCAAACCTCCCACAGGAGGAAAGAACCAGCATAAATCTGGTCATGTGGTAAGTAGCCGCTACTGTGGGGAGAGGAGATTATGTGGTGAGGTTACATATGTGACATGCTGATTTCTAGTTTGTAATCATGTTAATTAGGAACTTTTACAAGCTGATAAATCTTAAAGTACATGACTGGCGTGGTCGAAACACCCGTCATTACTTTTCATATAAATTGCTGTACAACATATCTGTGATCCAGGGTGTAAGACGAGGTGGGTTAGAAAATGGCGTTTTTAGCCCCGTTGACTTGCATTTGTTTTTTCGCTCTTCCTGGCACCCATGAACCGACCGGAAAGGGAGAAGACTCAGGCTCCCTATACCCTGTTTGTACTCTGCTTCACTCCTGCCAGCGTTTTTTGTTGTAAGGTAACTGGAAGAGTGGCATCAGGAAAGTCGCATGTCGCCACCTACTGCAGCGGAGTGGAAAGCACTTTGTTATAGCGCCATCTAGAGTTTTAAACCCTCCCCAAGACCCTTTACAACACAATCATTCACTCACATACTCGCACACGGTTTCACACTGACAGAGGCACAAATGCAAACTGTTGTAATTCCTACACCGTTGTTCACCTGATTTTGATGTAAATACCCTCGAATTAATGCTGACAGTCTGCAGTTATAGCACGTCATGTTTGTTTCATTTCAAATTTATCGTGGTGGTGTATAGAGCCAAACATGTTAGAAATGTGTCGATGTCTCGATATTTATAGACCTGACCGCATATCAAAATGTGACGCCGCTCCTTCACTTGTTTGTACAATCACTGAACAGCACTGGTGTTTGTTTTTCCATTTATCCAGGCTGTGACCTCAATGACAGATGTTTTTATTTCCCAGTGTGTTGTGTGGTGTCAGAGTGGACTATGTCACTGCAACAGCCACAAGAGAAGTGACTTCTGGAACAATACGAGAAACGTTGTTCTGTTGGGGGAACTGAATAAGTTCAACTTCACCCTGTCAGAGGTCGACTCTCACCTCCGAGATGCAGGTGCAGATTCTGCTCCACAGCTCCAAGACCATGTGAATCCTGCGTTCATTATTTTTCAATTTCTGCTTTTGTTTTAGGCACAATGCTGCAGAAATTCAGAACAGACCTCTATGCACTTTTCTCACACATCATAATGGATCGAACAGGGCATCAGCAGTACCAGCCCACTTCTGGTCATGAGTGAGACATTTGTTAATCTTTGCTTTTTAACATGAGCATGAATCTTAAATGCATACAAATATGCTGTAAAGTAAACTTTCAATTGATCAGCGTTGTCTGGAACAGCAGAAACCCTGGAATGATTTAGTTTTAACAGAATATTTTCATAGTTTATAATTTTGAGTCTTTTCTTAAAGTGATATTCCACCCAAAATGAAAATTGTGTGTGTTTTATGCTGGTTTGCTAAGAATGTGTACATCAGTGTTTACAGAAGCAGGTGTCTTTGGGGCTGCCAGTGGAGGCATACAGCTGTGCTGTGTCATAAAGTAGTCCCAAGTCAGAAATGGCGCCTGTGATTCCTTTATGTTACTGATTATTTTCACTTGCAGTCAGTCTGATTATTTAGGTCACCAAGCAGAATTGGGATCACTACCGAGTGATTTTAAGGATGTTTTTCCTCACAGTGCTAGTCGGATCCATCCACTTACTGTGTTTTACGCTAAGCTAAAGGAGTACAGCCGGGTCAGGAGAATGACTGGGCTGGCTACAAATATTTTCCCCACTTACCTAACACTGGGAAATATGTTGAGTGGAATATCCCTTTAAGTTGTGTTAAATTTAAAAGGTCCAACACTGTTGAATCATTAGCAAAGTTTCAATTATCACAGTGGATAAACCAGCTGGGTTCCACGGGTCTGTGTCTGGACAGCGGAGACGCTGCAGGGCTCACAAGTGAACCTGTTGTTGTTGTTGTTTAGTAATAACAGATGATTGTTTTCTTCTCAGTGAAAAGAAACTGTTGGAGTTTGTGTCACGGTTCCTGGAGCAAGCAGACGGACTGAACAGCAGAGCTACAGTTGTTCTGTATCTCGGAGTGGCTAAAGCTTTTAATAGACTTTTCTACTTATTAGGGTACTCACAAAATTCATTAACTGATTCAAATTCACTTTTTTGTTGGGACATTTAATAAAATGCTTTTTACAGGCCTACAAGACAACTTCCCACATATGAAGGTGTTAAGGAGGAGTTACTACAGAAGTAAAAGCAAACAAAATCCTGCTTTATTTCACATTTGAGACATTTCTCAGTTTTACCCCTCAGTATTTGCATGGTGGTTGTTTTGTTTTTTTTTCTCTCCAGAGTGATGAAAACTGTCCAAAGACACATAGTGATGGGCGATTTCACTCCACAGTTTATTCACAAGTTGCAGGATTTTTACCAGAAAAAGGTCTTTTTACCATGTGAGATGAAGTACTTGAAGAACAGGTGGGCGTGTGGTTCATTATTTGTTTTGGTTACGTTGACGTGTTCTGAACCTTGGCTCGGTGCGGCTGTTCTCCAGTCCTTGTATTCGCCTCTGGAACGACGTCCTGCTGGTGTCGGTGTTGAAGGGACAGAACGTGTTGGGCTATCGGATGGACAAGGGCAAGAAAGACGTCCTCTTTGAACCGATTTCTGTGGTGCAACTGAGAAGTGAGCGGCTTCAGCATCAGCACAGGTTCTTACACACACATACACCTTTATTTATTTTGCAACAATCTCTCACACACACACTTTGCAGGAGTGATTGTGGATCTGTGTGTCTTCTAAATGCCTGCAGGTACCGAGAGTTGTGTCGATATCTGCGAGTGGTCCAGAGCAATGATTCCACACTGTGAGTTATTAAACTGCCACTAGAGTCCATTCTGAAGCTGCTTGAATTAAATAAGACTTAATTATAAAGAATGATGCCACAAAACTCCTAAAGAACTCATTTCTACATGTTTACTGAGAAAAGGATTTGTAGATACAGGTGTGGGCCGAGTCTGTCAGACTGCTCCCCTATCCATCTCTCAAACACCATTATAAAGTTTGCGGATGATACCACCGTGGTCGGACTCATCTCGAAGGGGGATGAGACGGACTACAGAGATGAGGTCAACAGACTGGCGGAGTGGTGTTCAGTGAATAACCTACAACTGAACACCACAAAAACTAAAGAACTTATCTTCGACTTCAGGAAGGGCAGAGCAGACCCGGCCCCATTGTACATTCATGGGATCTGTGTGCAGGGTGTCCGCGGGGTTTTAAAAAGTATTAAAAAGTGATAAATAAAAATAGACAAATTTAAGGCCATTAAAAGTGTTAAATTTGGTCTCAGAGGTATTATTTTTTCCAAATTAGGTATTATTTTTTTCAGACTATCAGATGTCGTATTCTGAACATCGACATAGAAATATATTCCGAATGAAATGTTTTGAACGATTATAAAAACAAAACAAGCCGATTATTTGCTCCTCCCACTTGCGCTGCCTTGAGTTGCAAATGAAGCGCTCCTCCCAGTGTTGCCAAGTTAACTTAGCGACTTTGACGCTATTTCTAACAGCTTCTCAGACCCCCTTCTTGACTTTTTAAATCTTAAAAGTACCTAGCGAACACCTCAGAAACATCTCTGGTGACCCTTAGCTACTTTCTGGATAAATGTCGTCGACGTTTCCTGCAGGTTAGCTAAACACTCCGCCTGCGCTCCGGACCGTTCTTCAGGACATTAGGAAAGGGAATGATGTAGTGATGTGTCAGTCGCTAAAGAAACGGCTCTCAGAGTCGGCTCCCTGTTGGAGTAACCAGAGTGAGTGACACACACACCGTACCTGCGGACTCCTGAGCCGATAAAAACGGCTAAATGTGCGCGTGCGGCGTGCTAAACACACGTGCAGCTTGCCCCTGATTGCTGTGAGACCGGGTTGGGGGTGGGGGTGCAGCTGTGGTTGGGACAATTATTACATTAACTGATGGACTTGTAAATAAATAGTTTATAAATAAGGTAGAAATAAGTTTCTCACGCTGATAAATAATAACTAATCTCTCTGAGGACACGGTGCTAGTGCACTCTACTACAGCACCTTGACATGACTCAATAAATGCTATGCAACATTTAGTGAACAGCAATTTGCATGTGTTTGTTATAAATGCCACTGTATAATTCTTGCTGTCAGTATTTGCAAGATATTGGTATTTGGGTCTGTACTGGTTAGAGTTAAATGAGTTAAACCAAGGTCTATAGCCCTTGGGTCATAAACTATGAGCTATAAGTATATTGGTCTTTTTATACTGGGAATCAGGAGTTATTTTAGTGATCATCTTGTTTCTTGTTTATTTTTGCCCTGATTGTGCCCTGAGCAGTTTTATGACTGAATAAAAATAAAAAATAAAAATCTACATAAATTGAAAAATCGTCTTAAATAATCGAGATCTCAATTTCAGTCACAATAATCGTGATTATTGTTTTTGCCATAATCGAGCAGCCCTACTTTAGCATATCCGGTCACATAATGATGATGTCATATTCAGTGGTCGTTGTGCATCATTTCAGGCCTCGTGGTCAACTGTCTGAACCGCTGAAAAGAAGTGTCTGGCTTATTGTAAAATAAATATGTGCAATACGTTGTCAACATCAGTGAGTCTCTAAGTCTATTCTTTTTGTATGTTATATATGTTAAAATATGTGTAAACAGGTCGCTAATTAACACATGCAATTTAGTGTGATGGTTTTAAAAAAATTCTGAAGGTAGTAAAAAAAGGTATTAAAAAGTAGTAAATTTTACTTAAGGATTGCTGTATATACCCTGTGTGTGGAGAGGGTGCACTCCATGAGGTTTCTGGGTGTGCAGATCTCTGACGATCTCTCCTGGACCGCAAATACCACGGCAGTGGTAAAAAAAGGCCCAGCAGCGTCTCCACTTTCTGAGAGTGCTCAGGAGGAACAACCTGGAGGAGAGGCTGCTGGTGACTTTCTACAGAGCCACCATAGAGAGCATCATAACGTACAGCATAACAGCATGGTACGCAGGGTGCTCAGCTGCAGACAGGAAAGTACTGCAGAGGGTCATCAACACAGCCCAGAAGATCACCGGCTGCTCTCTGTCCAGACTGGAGGTCATTGCAAACTCTCGGTACCTCAGCAGACCGAGTAATATCATTAAGGACCAGTCTCACCCCAGCAATCAAGTCTTTCAACTATTACCATCAGGTCGACGGTACAGGTCACATAAAACCAGGTCAAACAGATTCAGGGATGGCTTCTTTCCCAGGGCGATCTCTATAGTGAATAAGCATAAAACAATTAAAACTGCTTAGCGACTGTCAAGGTCACCGTCAACTATTATGCTGCTATTCTAATGCCATTTTATACATAATAGTTTAGCTGCTATTCGGTATATATTGTACTTACTATTGTTTTGTTTTAGGGGACCTTTTATATCTATAAGTATTACTGTATTGTGCACCAAGGGAGTGGCACTCCAATTTCATTGTATCGTGTACAATGACAATAAAGGCTATTATTATTATTATTAGATGAATTGCCATGTTTCTTGTTCTGTCCTGGTGACACTCTGTCCACCGGCTGTCCTGTCCCGTTCTTCAGGTTCCAGCAGCTTCGAGACCTCGTCCCTTTCTTCTTCTGCCTGTTGGGAAACTTCTCATCGGCTATAATGAATCTCTTCCCTCCAGCCAACGCTCCCGCCTCCCGCTTCTCCCCACAGCTCTTCCTCGTTTTCCTCCGAATCTTTCAGACAGCGACTGCACCAAAGCTGATGGTCACCCACATGGAGCAGCTGTGCAGTTCCAGTGCAACGTGGGAGCCGATTGAAGGTTGGTCATCTTTATTTTAGACTTAGAAATGTCAGAAAGGTAGTTTTTTTTAGTTTGATTTGGGTTAGAGATCACCTGTTTGTTCTGTGCAGCAGCTGAGCCGATGAAGTGTGTCGACCTGGTGAAGTTTGCTCTCAGGGCTCAGAGATTCTCCACATCTGTCCTCTCTGACGTAAGACTTTAACCCTCCCACTGTCCTAATGGGTGTGACCCCGCGAGGAAAGGTGACCATTGAGCAGGATTGATGGTTTATCCCTTGGGTCCATGTGGCAGGGGTGAGGAGTGAGCACCACCTCACCCCTGCCACGTGGACCTCAAGGGATAAACCATCAATCCTGCTCAATGGTGAACTTTCCTCGCAGGGTCACACCCATTAGGACAGTGGGAGGGTTAAACTGCTTTTAAGGGAAATTTCAAGGATTACCTGCAGCTTCTGAGTCTTTAAATGTGGACTGAATTGATTGTGTGAGTTTATAACTGTGTTACTCTTATTTAGTCTCAGTGTTGGACAAGTTTACTTCAAATCGTCAACTCTCCTGCTCTACCTGCTCCCAGCCCACAGTTTCTACATGTACGTGTTTCCTGTTTATTTTCAACACCTGCTTTCTTTGAATGATTTTAGTCGTTTTTAATCGTATATGTTGTGGTTTTGTGATGAAGGACGCTCAGGATGTTGTGAAGTCCCTACTCTGCGAGAAGGTTTCCAACATGCCCATCCCTCGCACCTTTCTGGAGGTCAGTGTGTAGAAAATGTAACGTTTGAACTCATGTCCAGGTCTGTGCAAAAGTTTTCAACCATCATTCTGTGCTTCTAACAAGCCAGACTTTCTTTAGTCTTTAAGACTTTTGAAGATCTCTCTGGGTTTTCTTTGAAATTCGGGTGCTTTAACATTCCAGACCTTTAACCAAACCGTGGCAGCCGTTTGTGGTTGTCCCAACCACCTGCAGCTGTGGTTGGGACAATTATTACATTAACTGATGGACCTGTAAATAAATAGTTTATAAATAAGGTAGAATAAGTTCCTCACGCTGATAAATAATAACTAATCTCTATGAGGACACGGTGCTAGTGCACGCTCCTACAGCACCTTGACATGACTAAATAAATGTTATGCAACATTTAGTGAACATCAGTTTATTTGCATTAATTTGTTATAAATGCCACTGTATAATTCTTGCTGTCAGTATTTGCAAGATAGTGGTATTTGGGTCTGTACGGGTTAGACTTACATGAGTTAAACCAAGGTCTATAGCCCTTGGGTCATAGACTATGAGCTGTAAGTATATTGGTCTTTTTATACTGGGAATCAGGAGTTCTTTTAGTGATCATCTTGTTTCTTGTTTATTTTTGTCCTGATTGTGCCCTGAGCAATTTTACGACTGAATAAAAACAAATAAAATCAGCACTGAGAAATCGTCTTAAATAATCAAGATCTCGATTTCAGTCACAATAATCGTGATTATTATTTTTGCCATAATCGAGCAGCCCTGTTTATACAGATACAGGCAACCCTGGTGAATCATTAGCCCTAGATACACAACCATAAGGTGTTTGAAAATAATAACACTATTAGTAATCACAGTCGTAATTATTATAAAAACAGTAACTACCTAAATCCCAAAGCAACCAAACCATAAATGATAAACTAATAAACTTAACGTGCTACTATAACAATTGCAGCAGAGTGTGAGGTTACATTTGTATAATTCTGAAATACATCAGGTGATATAGTCGATACAATTGATAGTATTTAAGGGGTAACGTCTAGCGGCAGAGACATAGCATGGTTCATGAGAGGTTGCCAGACATACAAGAACTCATCAGTGCCTCTAAGACGATGATGAATTTTTTTCCAGCTTCATAAAGTAAAGGGCATCTATGATCCAGTGGGAGTGTGTAGGTGGATGAGAGTCCTTCCAGCACATTAAAATAACTCTCCTAGCTAAAAGCGTAAAGAGTGATACAGAGTCAGCAGAGCGAGATGACAAGGAATCACATCCAGGCAGGATCCCAAACAGAGCGGTTAAAGGAGACTGTGGGATTTTACCGACAGGACAATGAAAGAGTCAAAAACTGAGTCCCAGAATGTAGACAAGGCCGGACGGGTTAAAACATATGAGTAAGATTAGCTGGACCTAGGTTACATCTTGCACAGTTAGATTAAGTACCAGGGAAAACCCGAGCCATCCTACTCCTAGACCAGTGTACGCTATGTACCACTGTGCACTGGATAATACAATGTCTGGCGCAGATGGATGAAACATGAATACGCTTCAAAATAGACTGCCAATGATCACTGCTCATTTCTACACCAAGCTCTTTGGACCAAGCCACACAAGAACGACTGGATGTTGCAGAGCATTTAGAGAGTAAAAACTTCTACATTTTGGATATGACCCCTTTCTGATGAGGCTTTAATTTTTATTATTGAATTTACTAAAGTGGGGGAAACGATATCGGTTAGACCCAATCCTACTCTGGACTCGAGATGATCACGATGAAAGCGGCTCAAAAAACAACAATCTACGATCAGCTGGTCTTCTCTCAAGGTTTATCAACACATCTGGCTCCTGGTGATGGAATGAACACGGTTGTCGTTTTTCCAGGTGTATCCAGATCAGGCCTTGCTGCTGTTGGTAACGGGAGCTTTAGGTGCACAAATCCTCGATGCGTCTCTGAGTCCTGCTCTACCTGTTCTCAGCACCTTTAAGGTAACTTTCTGCGTGTTTCTACTTTTCGATAAAATAAACACAGGTTGGATTTGGATGGTGTAGAAAATGGGCGTTGGTTTCCATGGTTACATTTGGTAGAGGAGCCTTTAAATATTCAGTGCCATGACTGGATCTTCAAACTTCTGTATTCATATTGTTGTGCAGTAATTTTAATATTGCATCAATTTTTATCTTAAGTTAAAATGAACAATTTAACAAAAACCTTGAAATGTAACTTGTATGTTGTGCAAATAATTTAGCATAATACGATTAAATATATTTACCTATTAATACTGTTCATAATCATGCCTCGTATAACAGGCTGGTGGCTTTATAGAGGTTACAGGAGAGCCAAGTTTCATTTAGATGCTTTTGTGCTTTTCAGGGGAATTTGTGGGCTCTGCAGTGGTTATTTGAGAGTCTGGCTGAGAGTAAAGAGCGTTTTGAATCCATCCGTCAGCAGATCACACTGGAAGCAGCAAACACTACAGGTACGACGGTGTTATCAAGCTGCAACAAAATCAACACTGGACTTCCTGTGTTTTATTGAGCTAGATGTCTGAAACCCAGCCGAAAGTCGATGTTTGAGCTTTAAAAAGACATCATGCACTGGTGTAAAACTTGAGCCCCCTTCAAACAGGCCATGAAAAACGGAAATGTTCCGGACTCTGTCCGTAAGACCTTTGTGTCTGAATACAAACATCCGGATAACATGTTACGGAATTTAACCGGACGAAGCCCCTAGTAACAGGTCTGGACTTGTTACGGACAGGGCGACTGCTTCAGACTGGTGAGGTAGAGTTCCGGACAAAGGGGAGGGGACCGGGAGACGCTGTGCGCACCTAGATAGCCCGCTGCTGTAGCATGTGGCGAACCACGGCAGCTCGCCTCCTAGGTACCGCCTAGACGCGCGACGGAGCGCTTCACACCGCTTCAGTGATTCCTTTAACCATTGAGCTTCATCATCCAGGTCTCTTATGCGTCTTCGTGTGCGCAGAATTATGCTTAAGCGCCTCGTGATTTTTATCTTGAGAGGCGCTGTAGAAATTATTTCTTCTTCTTCTTAACATAAGTCCGATCCCCCCCCCCCCCCCGCCGCCGTCAGACATCTGGAACTTTTCCCTGCTGTGTGAACGCAGCCGAAAGGACAAGTTCCGGTACAAAAGTGGTGTGTCTGAAAACACAGTTCCGGTTAAAAACCGGATTGAATTGTCCACAAATGTTCCAGAATGTCTATCTGAAAAGGGCTTTAATAAAACCGTGTTTACTTGAACATTTCAGACATGTTTGGAGGCTAAAATCTACCCTGAAAGCCCCTGTGAAGGTAGTGTGTGACCATTTAAAGCCACAGTTCCTGCTACAGCTGTGAAATCCAGCACTCGTATTGTTTTAAGATGGCTGCACAGCCAGCGTTTGCTCTCTGCAGCTGATGTGCTGTGAGATCAGGCGTGAGCTCGTGATGTATGTCTACATTAGTGTTTGTGAATGAAGACCACTGTTGTGTGATCAAACAGCTGCTTCATATCTTTGCATCAGAAGGAAACCCTCTAGAAATAAAACCTCAGAGCTGAGATGAGCACAGGAAGAGCCATCTCTGGAGGTTTTACTCTTCTAAAACATCCCTAATTTGCTGATTTCGAGCCCTGACTTGATTTATGCGTTTCCTGTGTTGTACTACAGATTAACTGTTACTTTTTAACCTGCAGAGAGCTCACTGGCTGCTGGATGGATCCAAAGTTCGCAGCAGCAGTCTCCTCCTGAAGCTACGTAGGAGCACAGCAGTATTATCCTGGGTGATGCTTGATCCCGCATTACATCTGTGCCATTTTTTTCTCCACGCTGGATAAGAACATGCATCACATGACTCGTGTTTCCTGTTGGAGTGTGCTCTCCAGACAAGGCTTGGCTTGTTATCGCCAACATTCAGATCATCTCTGCTTCTGATGACGGGAAGTTTGATGTGGCTTCACCTGTCGGTTGTCAAGACCCCCAAGCTAGTTTCACTTTAAACTCTGACTTTTTGAATGCTATTTCTTAGTTGAAGATTTAAATATTTACTTTATTTCTAATCATATATAATTATTTTATAAGCTGTTAACTGAATGTGTAAAAACTTTAGTTTTTTTAAATTGAGAGTTGCTGCTCAGCACGTATAGTGTTGAGTGTTTTAAATGTGACTTTATTTGCAATAAAAACACATTTTCACACAAAAAAAGCATAAAGTTTTATTCAGAGTTTTGCACAAGTGTCGGTCACCTTTTAGGTTACAGCATGTTTGGTAACACATAAAGCATCTTAGCGTGTTTACTAACTAAAAACATTAGACGAGTGGGACAACCCACACTGACCACCGTTTCTGATGGGTTAGAACAGTTGATGAATGAAAAAAGTCTTCGGTTGGAAAGAAAACTAACCATCCTGGGACGATCTGTTCACTTCCAAAATGGCAAATAAAGAAAACTTGCTTTTCATGCCAGTAGAATTTTGTTTTACAAATTTTACCATATGTCAGTAAAAAAGTCTCTTTGTTAAAGGTTTTAGTTCTCTATTTTACCTGCAGGGCTAAGAAACCGTACCTTCAGAACACCTGTCATGTTTTATGGGTCATGTTCTGTAAATGTTCCATGTTGTGGAAAAGATGTTGACATGGTAGAGGAGGTAAGCAGAACCAACTCAAAGCTTTAGTTGGTTTTTTTTAGCCACTAGATAAACACACTGAGGTAAAAGTTGCTTGTTTTCCTTTTCTTTGTGGCATCCTGCAGACCTCTGACAGAAAAACACGTTTTCACTCAAGTTTCCCAGTTAAAGGATTTAAATTCACATTTGAGATAAAATTCCAGTTTATTGTTGATTTGAGCTCAACATGGAGTTGTGATGTAATCTTAATACTGCTGATTGGAAGTTTTTATGTGTTTTTTTTAATTGATTGTTTATATATTTTCTTAAACATCTTTGTACTTGTTGAATCTGGTTTTTTTTTTTTTTTGTCCTTTTCTGTCGATGTGCCACTACTGGAAACTGAATTTCTCAGAGGAACGTTCCCGAGGGATTAAAATGTACTTGACTCTATTCTAGAGGATTTTGTTTTATTTGTATTCATTAAAGCCTTTTCTAGATTTTTAGGGTTTTTTCTACTAAAGACATTTAGCTTAATCAAAACCAGGTGAATATTTAAACGAAGCAACACGTTTTTGTAGTTTTAAAAATCACAGCACACAGTCTGAAACCTCCTAAAGTCATAATACTAGTTCAGAGATTATAATCTGAATGATGGTGTACTTGCACTTTTTCTGAATAATTCACTTTAAATGAAGCGTTCGTGTGTGAGGAAGTGATAAACATGGTAAAGTCACTATAATAAAGCGGTTAACTGCTGTTTAAATGTCTTTGGTGAGAAAAGTCCTTAAACACTCAGTAAGAAAAATCAATTTCCCTCTGGGATTAATAAAGTATTTTTGAATTTGAATTGAGCTAGAAAAATAGAATAATTCTGTTTACAGCAGCTAATGACTAAACCTGAGCTCTGACATTAATCTCAACTCGGGCTCTTATGTAGCAAACGTGTTTTTGTGAAGCTGCACTGAGCAGTAAGAGAATTTTAAAAATGGCGGCCCACGTCCTGCGTGGCGTTGCTTGATGAGGTCAGACAGATGGTGCATGACTCTGTAGTCACATTCACTGGAGAAGGACCCTTGTGCATGCAGACAATCCCTTTCAGTACCAACGCCTCCCGCTAGGAGTGTGTGCAGCAGTGCCTTGCTGGCCAGTGCGGCCAGGCAGCTCTCCAAGTGCAGCAGGTAAGTCAGTCCCCCTCGGAAACCGGTGTGAGGCTCAGCCAGCTGGCTGAGGAGAGAGCCGGAGTAGGTCGGGCTCTGCAGCGTCTTCTGATCCAGGTCCAGCAAAGCCAGGTACCGACTGTATCGAGTCACAGAAAGAAGAATGGTGGAGGATAAGCTGGAGGAGGATCTGAAAAGAACAAACAGATCTGATCATTTATCTGGTCTTCCCTGGTGAGCAAGCGGGGTGAAATGCAAACATGACAGTCGTAGATGTGTAACGGATTAGCTGTGATTAAAGCAGCATCAATAAGTGAAACTGTATAAAACTTGATTCTCATTTCTTTAAAATGAGCAGTGTTGGGCAAGTTACTTCAAAACTGTAATGCATTATTTATTACTTGTTACCCTCATTTTAAAGTAATTAATTACAATATTACTGATTTTAAAATGTAAGGCATTACACTGCTTTTGCATTACTTTAAGTTACTTTCACCAATACAACTTCAATATGAATCTGGTAATCTGACGCTCAGTGAGCTCATGACATATATGTGGAAAGTGATGTGGTGTCTGAGCTAGGATTGCTGTTAAAAACAGTCAGATATAATAACAGTGCTTTAAAATTATTGTTTATTAAATAAAAGCAACAACAATCTACTCTCAACACGCTGCCATCTTATAGGGCCATCTGAGCAGGGAGTGAGGTGGTGGGGGCTCCAAGCCTATATTTGCCTTGGTCCCCAAATGCCTTGATACGGCCCTGGATGTGGGACTGACTTCTGGGGTGATCTGATTCTATCACATGTATAAATATTAAATGCGTATATATTATTGTTTTTCAATGGTAAAAATGTGAATTGGGGATAAATCTACCTACTTTTTTCTTTTCAAGCACTTTGTTTTGTTTTCTTGATTTTATGTGAATAATTTCTGCCCTTTCTCTCTCTAACCTTCCTGCATGCTGCATGTTTTCTCCGTCTTCCAGAAAAAAACTGTTTCCTAGATTTCCTACTTTCTAACTAATCAGCCAAAGGGATCTACCAAACCAGCAGCAATGAGTTGAAATCACCGGGACACAGATTATGAACTCAGCTGAAAATTACATGAAGTACCAGAGATTGTGGGCTGATATAAACGATCGCACACGAATGACTTTGTTTTGGTGGAGCGATTTTGTGAATATAACAGCGGCCGCGCGCCGGACGCAGCTGGATTATTTGAGCCATTACCGCTGCGTCCTCTCTGCTCATAAAATGCCTGCAAAGCCGAGTCCATAAATGACGTCATATATGTAGATACTGGATCTTTTTTCAGGCTTCCCGCAATTTGAATTTTTAAGGAACACATCTTGATTCTGGGTTTAAAAATGCATTGTAATTACAGCGTTACTGACAATTGTACCGAGTAAATATTACCATTTTCTTTCCCTGTAATGCCTTACATTACCACATTACAGCAAAAAGCAATGCATTACAGAAATTAATTACTTTTGTACCTCGTTACTCCCAACACTGAAAATGAACTATTAATATCAACAGAGTGATTCCCACAGCAGCAACACAAAACTGTAGTTAAAGTTTAGGTTTTCTGTTACCTGCAGCCTCAAATCATCTTTCATCTCTTCTGTATCTTCCCCTAAAACCAGCATCTGAACCTTTTGGCAACAACTTGCAAGTAATTTATTAATGTTAGTACGTTTTCTGTGATGAAGCTACGTATTCCTCACCTTTGTATTCCTATGAGTCTCCAGGTGAGCAGGTCAGACAGCTGAAGTGGCGTGGTCAAACACGGCATCACCGCGCTTCCATCAGAACCGGGGGATGGCAGGAAGAGGCTAAGACCATCCACCTGCTTCCTCACTAAACTCTCATCTCCTCCGACGACGACCAGCGGCCGGCCGCTCAGGAGACAGAAGATGGCGTGCTGGGAGAAGGAGTGATGCTTGATGAACCGGAGGGCTCTGAGTCCAGCCTTCCTCCTCCGACGACCCAGCTGTGTGCTGCTGTGGTTACCCTGCGTAGGGGAGAATGTGTCTGAGGAGCCAGTGAAGCTGCTGCAGTCGGACATCTCATCTACGCTCAGCAGCCTGAGAGGAGGGCACGGCGGTGACCTCCGACCCATCTCAGCCACAGGAGTGGGAGGGGCCAATTTTACATGTAGCTGAGAAAACAACCTCAGTCTCCGTGGAAACAAGTCCACGCCTGCAGCAGGTTAGAGGAAAAATCTAGTTTCTTACATGTTATTCTCACACAGAGTGTTTTATTTTGGGCGGATCTGCTTGTTACCTTCTGATGGTTCATGCGCCTTCTCTGGAGCGACATCTTCCTGAATGTCTTTTATCCTCTTGGTGACAGAATCATCAACATCAGCAGCTGGTTCTCCTAAAGACTCTCCTTTGTTGACGGGGTCATCACGTTCATTCTCTGAAGTAGCCCAAGTCATCTTCATCCTTTCAGGAGGTAATTCATCAGATTTCCAACCATTCGCTAACTCTTCCTCATCCTTAAAACCGTTAGTTAGAGGATGATGCTCCGCCTCTTCCTCTGTGATGGCGGTAAGGTCGTCGGGAAAGATGGACTCGCTGGTGCTGAGCACCTCGATGCTGTCCTCGCTGTTGGCCCGTTTGGCGTAATCTCGCACGCGTCTGACACCCGCGTCTATCGCCGCACACCGGACACAAACATCTGCTGTCCCCGTGGATGTTTCTGTGCATCAAACAAATCAATCAGCTGATCTGAGTGATTGTCCTATCACTCATGCTTGATATCCATTTTATTTATTTTTTTTGTTTATTGTTTAAGAACTTAAGATGCAACTTTTCACATTTAAGTAACTTGACCTCATGGGATTTTGACCATTTTTATACGATTTTGTGTTCCACAATAAAGCTGAAATGTAACTGAAGAGAAAAAAACGAGATGTATTCTGTCAGCAAATGCCTGTTAGTATTTATTCTAATTATCACTGCCTGCTGAGTAAACGTGACCAGAAACATCTGCCAAATGTGAGTTTAAAACTGGATGTTTTTCAAATGAGAAGCTGGAAACAGGGGGGGTTCTAGGAGAGTCCAGCATGGGCCAGAGCCAACCAGGCAGCCATCTTGGACCCCCCCCCCCCCCCCCCCCCGTGACCCCCCTGCTGGGAATAAGTTCTGTTTATTGTGATAATTTAACCAAATGCAAGACATGGAAACAAAGCATGAGAATATATGTATCTAAAGGTTGATTGAGGTGCCGAGGTAAATACCTTCATGTTGTCACTGAGACGGATAACAAAGATTTCAAAGTATTTTTGGCAAAATAATTATATTTTGTTACTTATTGAAAAGCTCCTGAATCAAAAGTTACTGCAACAGATTTATCATTACGATACATTTGATATACCTCGAGACGATGTTTTCTTACTGGGCCTTTCCACCAGACGCGTATGCGTCGCGTAACGTCTGTGAAGTGTGGTACGCAGCAATTAGCCGCCATTATAATGGATGGGTACGTTTCCAGAGGCTGCAAAACGTAACATTTTGGGAGTGTACCTGAAATGTAGGGATGTGTTTGGGGCTGCACAATATATCGTAAATATATCGTTATCGCAATATCAGCAGGCCCAATATCGCAAAGATCAGATTAATATCACAATGAACGGTCAGCTCAGATGTTTGCTACACATAACTCATTCTGTCAATCAAACGGAAGCATGATGTTTTTTAACAAATCAAATAGAGCTCTTCACCAATCTGGCCAATTGGGTGGGTTCTCATAGGATGGATGCCCGCCCCCGAGGCGGACGGTACACCTGAGTTAGTTTTGTTCGGCTCTATCTGCTGATTCTGCTTTTCCCGGGATCCACTGATTGCCTTTTCTTGTTCATTTTCTTTTCCCCTTTCCTCACATCTTTTGCTTTTCTCATTCTTATGATTTTATTTTTGTCATTTTTGTTCCTGAGTTAAGTTTTTATTTATCGCAAGTAATATCGTCATCGCAATAGTATTCACTGCTATCGCGTATGGCAGGTTTTCCTAATATCGTGCAGCTCTAGACGTGTTACTTACTCGTGGAGTCTATTTTTTTACATGCTAAGCTTCCAGATTGCATCAAATTTCACAGTTCAGATAGAGCCAGACATGAAGTCAAACACAAAAGCAGTGAAAACATCTAGAAACTTTCAGAATACAAGCCATGTGCAGATTTCCATTTGGTTAACTAGTAGAAAAAGTAAGTCAGCACCTGAAACCTCCACCGCTGAGCTAATAGAACAGAAACTAAACCATAGATCTTTTTGGATGCCTGCTGACATCTTTATCCTCACCAGCTATCACCCGCTGTGTCTGATAAGACTTCTCCGTCCCGAGGACTTCAATGCTGTCCCCGCTGCTCATGCTCCCCGTCATCTCTGCAGCAGCGCTGAAGTCAGCCTTTTCTGCCACCAGTTTGATCGGGATCTCCTCCAGACAGGATATGAGCACCTCCGCACTCTGCCGTTCTGACTGAACCTCCGTCTTGCTCCCCGAGACCCCCTGTGCCTCCATCTCAGCACGCTCACCTTCCTCCTCCTCTGCCTCCCTGGGGCTCCACAGCTCAAACAGGAAGTTGGTGAGCTTCAGCCTCCTGGACAGTGAATGAGTGACATGACAAGTTCTAAGGACGCTCCTGTCCCCCCGCAGACGCCGCTCAGTGTCCACTAGCTGCTCCTTCATCAGGGAAAAGAAGTAGGAGTTGCAGAGCTCCTCGAGAGGCTTGAGAAGGTTCTCTGACCTATAGGAGGATGGGGAGGAGGAGGAGGAGGAGGTGGGGAGATAGGAGCATGGCTCAGGAGGCTGTAACGCAGTCAGATCTGTGAGGGAGTCAGCTGGGTCATAGGGCAGGAAGTCAGGCTGTTGAAGCTTCCTGTTAGGGTAGGATGTGACCTGGCGAAGGAGCTCTCTGTGATTTAAGATGGAATATTCCAAAACATCAAGCTCCTCTGGTTTCCCTTCAGCTGATTCATCCTTCACTTCCTGAAGTTCTTTGTTCTGCAGCAGAGTCAACCGTCTGAACCTGGAAGAGTCAGAGTTAGTGATGCTCAGTTCAGTTAGTGAAGCTCTGATACTACAGAGGCCCCTGCAGGACGAAACACGTGCTCGTTACTGCAGAGAGGTGACAAGATAAACGCCTGCAGACGGGATTTTTATTAGCATTCTTCTTGTCATATGCTCATGGGAGGAAAGTCGTGAAGAGTTTAAACTCAACAGCACTGCTCTGGTGCTGGCTGAGGAGAACAGCACAAACGTTGTTTTCACATCAGAAAATGACGTTTTGGTTCATAATGAAATTAAACACACATTAAAGAGCAAGTCACTCCAAATCACCATTTTTTTTGCTGATAAACTATATTAATGAGTGTCCAATCGTGCTGTAGACAAATGTAGTCGATAATTCAGCACTTTAGTGCATCTTAAGCCGGGCGTACACTGTGCGACTTTTTCACTTTTTTGAGCCAATTTTCCACTCGTGCGAGAATCCACGACATCAGGGCGAGTTTTACGCCGAGCGTCGTGTAGTGTACAGGGGGTTACGAGAGGCGATTAACACCACGTGGCCAGCTACCGATCAGCATTCGTGAGCTCGCACTGACTTCTGGCGTGTTTGATATTTTGCTCGTTCCTCGTGAGGATATCGCACTGTTGAAGCGGCGCTGTGAGCAGCTGCGACCCAAAATGTACCAGAACCGCTCACGGCGCATGCGCAATCATGCATCAACACCCCTCGCTCGCTATTTCCCTAATAACACACGTTGTTCGTTTTTGTTTCTACACGTTTTTTTTTTACTCACAAAGATTGTCAGGAAAGCGTGTTTGTTGTGTTCATGTCAAATTAAACTGATCACAAAACACAGATTTACTTTCTTTATTTCGTTTTCCTCATCCAACCCCCATAAATCCCTGTGTGTCCTCCTGCAGCACTCCCGAAGGACAACAGGCAAGACAAAAAAGTCTGACGTGTTGAGTAAAAACTGCTATTTTTAGAACTAGGTCATGTAGTGTGAGCACATGACTTGTGAGATCTGCCCTGCGAGGAAGTCGTACAGTTTGAGCTAAAGCTGAGTGCTACGAGTGAAAAAGTCGCACAGTGTCCGCCCAGCTTTAGTTAAAATTTAAATATTCTGCCTAAAACTGTCAGCGATGCACCGTCGTCAGGCAAAAACTCAGCACTGCATTTGAATTTAAACCTGCCATCGCTATTGGCTAAGAGGTACCCTATGATGTTAGATGATACATTATGATGTCACAATGTCGTGAGTGTGTGTATTTGTTAAGAGGCTCCGCCCTCTCGGTCAACAGCATTTGTTGCATTTTTCAAACAGGAAGTGGGAGTTGAGTAAGAATCTGGCAGGGGGTGACTTGCTCTTTAAGTACACCGGCTTACTCCACATTCTTTAACATGACAGCTTACTCAAGCTCTTGTAGTTTTCTTTGCAGCTCTGTGGAAAATGCTTGTCTATTTCCAGTCTTGAGGCTGTCAGACGCTTGAGAGAAGCCCGTCGACAGCTCAGAGAAGTTCTCCATCAGCTTCACCTGGTCCGAACACACATAGGCAATGCAGAACGGACGCACCATCCCCCGAGCTTCCAGGTCGTACAGGGTCAGGTGCTGAACATAGGCAAACGCATCCTCCGCCGAATCTCCCAGCATCACTCTGGAGTCCTCGCTGAAGCTGAGCCGGGGACCCGGTGAAGAGGGAGGGGTGTGACCCGGGCCAGACGCCTGGTAGTCCACGGACATGATGCGTACAGAGAAGTGGTTGAGGTCAAATGAGCCGATGACCTTTTGCTCATTTGGTATAGTCAGCACAGGCCTCGGTCCCACCTGGAAGCAAGAGGAGTTTGTGACGACAGGAGGATTTAATCCGTTCATAACCAGCTGTGCGGGGTCACGGGGTAGCTGTGCCATTTTAACCTTATTTTATACCAGGAGTCTATGAAACATGCACTTCATTAGCTGATCTATACATAAAAAGGAAAAATTATGTTTTGTCCAGTGGCGTGTCCAGATCTTTTAAAATGGGGTGGCCCAGGTGAGCCACAACTTTGTGCATGGGTGGCACCAATGGTTATGCTTTTTTTTTTGTTTTACCCCCAAGCCTTTTGTGGACAATGAAAAGTCTATTTAAAGGTAAATTAGTGTGGTGGCACCTGGGGTGGCCAATCAGATTCCAATGGTGGCATGTGCCACCCCAGGCCACTCCCTGGACACGCCCCTGATTTTGACATCTAACGCATTTATTTTTGAGCACTTTTCATTCATTGCCTAATCTTCTGAAACATGAAAAAAACTTAAGTTAGTCATCTGCAAAGCAGTTCTCTATTCAAAATGAGATCTGAAACTCCAGAAGGCTTTCTGAAACAGAAAGAAGCTGCAACTACAGACCATACCTGACAGTATGACTGGATTAAAAACCCTAGTTCAAAGAAGATATGATTTATGATTTTTATTATTGGCTCATCAGAAGATCACATTTTCAGCTTCATTTTAAATTTTTGTAGCCTACTCAAACACACACACACACACACACACACACACACACACACACACACACACACACCTGCTCTGAGAACTCCGCCACCAGGATGAAGTCTCTGTGGAACTGGGCTCTGGAGCTCCAGGGCTGAGCAGAAGGTCCCAGAGGGACAGAAAACTCCTCCGGTAGACTCCAGGCCTCCTGCTTCGCTCTTTCTTCCTCAAACCCCTCCGAGCCGGTGAACGGCAGAAGGTCCGGTGAGCCGATCATGTCCACCCGGTCCGGTCCGGTTCAGACCGCGGAGGACTTCAGGACCCACAACACCACCATGTCCCGGTGCTCCGCTCGGCTGGACAACATAACAACAACCGGGGAGCAGCAGACTTATTGCGCAGTTATTTTCGGCCACACGACACGGATATGTTGGAAGCTGCACAAACAGAAACTTGGAGGAGGAGGGTCCTCCCCGCGTCAACAGGAACTGAGAACCGAGGTTAAACACCTCCCCGCTGGGGGGAGGCAGTCACAAGGTCTCCTGTGTCCCGGGGTGTGTGTTCCTCTTTCTGGCACCGAGTCCGCTAACTTTCAGCCAAACGCTTCTGCTTCGAAAAGTGAACACCCAGAACCCCCCTCTCCACGTGGAAGAGAGAAGCCGCTTCTCACAAGACATAACGGACCGGTGTTATACCGAAAAAAGCCCCTCCTGCTGTAGAAGGTCATCATGACAAGCCCAAAAGCACATTCGACAAAATAGTTTACGAATAATCCGAGTTAAAACCAAAAACAAGTGACAATTTGACTTCAGGTTCAATAAATAAAATAACATCTATAATGCAAACACCATTTTTTTAATCTATATTTATAATTTATACATCTGTTCTGCTTTTATTTTACAGTATTTTATTCAAAATGTTTTTGGTTCTCTGCTCAATATCCTCACTGGGTTTACCTGGACTCAAAATGCCCCCATAATATTGTAATTACATAGAATTACACAATAATCTGTCCAAATTATAATCCCAATTTTACATGAAAATGTCTTCATACTGTTTTTTTTTTTTTTTTTTTTTTACCATGTCCTGTCTGACTGTGAAGCAAACAGAATTGATGTCTGAATGCTGGTAACAAGCCTTACAGATTTACTCTCAGGTGGAGCGCCAAAGCGTCTGCTTTCAATGTCACGCCTGATACTTAAAACTTTATTGTTGTTTTTGAATGCTTTGTAATTCCGACCAGACACTGAGTCAGAGGTGAAAGAGAAAGGAAAAACACAAAAGGTGGGGAGAAGGGGGGTGGGGTGGTGGGGGGGGTCCACAAAAATAAACAATAATTAACAAGTGTCTGCTTCTAGACCTGCAGAAAGAGAAAGAATAGAAGAAAGAAAATGGGGCCCACACAACAATACATCAGGAGCAAGCTATCACCGCGTCAACCTGATAGTGAAATATAAAATCAACATTGCTTAACTGAACAATCACACCATAATAAATCATAGTGCATGTGGTGGCAACGACAGCCTTAAGACATGTGTTGAACGTGCCCAAGCCCATACTTTTGAGAGCACCATGTGAGCACCTGTGTGTGTACACACGCTTGTTTATGTAAGGTTTCTTTATAGGAGCGTCCAATAGAGAGTGTGAGGGACCACAGATCCGCCCCCCAAAGATGCGTAGGAGATGGGAGGCGCTCCAGGTCCCAGAGATCCAGGTGCTGCCCCAGAACACAGGAACCCCAAGGAGACTGCAGCCAGAAAGGCCCCCGCCCCCCTCGAGAGTTACAGAGGGTCGCCCCGGGGGGCCACAACCAGCAGCCGGCAGAGTCCCTGGAGATATCAGCGGCAATCCCATAGGCCCGCCCGCCGCCTCCCACCCCCTAGCCGGCCGAGCCCGGGACCCAGCGACCCGGGACCATGGGGCGACCACCCCCGCCGGGGACCCAGCAGAGCCCAGGGACCCTGATCCCACCAGGCAGCCACCGGGATTGATCAGGCAGACGCCAAAAATCTTAAAACCCCTGACCCGGGAGCCACGAACACTCAGGCAGACCAAGGCACTACACCCCTCACCAGGTGTGGCAGATGAAGATCTATATCAGCAAAAGAAGTCCCAGGAGAGGGGAGGAGTCAAAGACCCCACCTGACATATACAGTCATACACAAACACAGTCACACACTCCCTCCCTCATGCTCACACATGCACATACAACCAAAGACTTACAAAAATGCACGCCGGACACCCACTCATGCTCCCCATACACACCCTATTCACTCTGGTCCCGGTACTGCTGCACACTGGGTACAACCATCACCGGTAACCAGAGTTTGACCCTTTCTGCTGGGGTGCTGATGAGCAGGCTCCCCCGCCCAACGCTGAGCACAGCAACCTACCACCCCAGACGGCCAGATCTCCCTCCTAGCCTCCAGCCCCAGGAAGCCAAGCAACAACAGAGGTGTGCTAAGACCCCTAGTCTCCCTCCGCCTGCTCCAATATAGTGTTAGTGTGTGTTGATGAGGTGTATTCCATGGCTGTGGTGAGCGGGCAGTGCGGGCATCATCCGGCCTATGCCAGCTGATGCCACCGCACCACCCCACTTGCACCCACAGCCCTCGGTGTCTAAGTGCAGTTTAAAATTGGAAGTGGGCACCGGCACCCGGGATGAGGCTGAGAAATCCCCCTGCCAAGTGCCGTCGAATGTGCTCACTCCCAAGGCCAAGTGTGTGTTTGTGTGGAATGTCGTCGGTGGAAGTGTATAAGGTGCAAATAAAATTGGGGGGCAGGTTGCCACAGGAATGCGGAAATGGAGTCCATACCCGCACTCCATGACTTGTCCACCCCCCAAGGTCCTGTGTGTATGTTTGTGTGATGATATGAGGGAGCAGGAGGAGAGAAATATGCAGGGATGGGGAGGAATAGCTGGTTAAAAAAAAAGAAAAAAAAAAGGTGAAAATTTGACTTCAGGTTCAATAAATAAAATAACATTTATAACGCAAACACCATTTTTGTATCTATATTTATAATTAATACATCTGTTTTGCTTTTATTTTACAGTATTTTATTCAAAATGTTTTTGGTTCTCTGCTCAATATCCTCACTGGATTTACCTGGACTCAAAATGCCCTACATGAAAAAAATAATCCCATAATATTGTAATTACATAGAATTACACAATAATCTGTCCAAATTATAATCCCAATTTTTCATGAAAATGTCTTCATACTTATTTTCTACACGTAAAACACCAAACATCGTACACGAACAGGTTGGACTAAATCAGCACAAAGCTTCACTAGAAAAAAATTTTATTGTACAAAATTTGTCATAAATTACAAATATGTATCAATGCAACATTCATGCTCCGTTCCGATGATTTAAATCCATCCAGCGTTATCTAGCTAATCCTGTAACTGAAATATTTTCATGCTACAGTTCTGATGCTGTGGCGGGCTTTAGATCTCCTAGCTGCTGCTCGCTGATTCCTCTGAGCCTCCGTCAGTCCATCTTCTGTCGTCAGCTCCACACCACCCATCTCAGACTGTGACTGCTCCTCCTCAGCACTCTGAGCCGGCATTTTTCTCAGCCACAACTGGTAGTAACCACGGAAACCATCTATGTGTACCAGGTAGTTGTTTCTAGACTCGTACTGGGATTGAAAAGGAGCAGAAAGGGAAGGAAATCCGTCAGCAGTTGAATAAAATACTAAATCAAAGCGAAGCATTAAAATAAAAAGCAGGTGACACAAGAAAGGTAGTTCTATTGTTTATTCATTTAAAATGTGTTCTGACCTGGTTGTAGTTGGGAGGATACTGAGCAGCGAACTCCAGCTGCTTGATTATGACCTCGTTAGGCCACACGCTCATCTCTTCCATGCTTTTCAAGAGTACTTTTAGGTAGATATAATCCAATCTCCGAGATGCTCGACCAATCAGAGCAGAGAACACGTGGACGTTGGGTCTCAGTCCTGCATCCTGCAGAAAATGCAACCCTCTTCTAAAACTCTCAGCAGCATTTTAGCACATTAACAGGATAAGAATGGCTGTCACAGAACCCAGACTAACACTTTATCTACATCTGCCTTCAGAATTAGTTTGGTAATCACCTGGATGTCTCTGAGCAGCTGAAGACCGTCCTCCTTCCGATTGCAGGCTAAAGCCAGACATCCAAACGTCTGTATGTTCACATTTACATTACGCTGTTTCATCACACTCAGCACAGCCTGAGGAGAGAAACACATCACTAATCTGAATAACTTAAGTATTTCAATCGTTTGTTTTGCGTCAGATGTTTTCCTCTAGGACAAATGGCTCTAAGAGCAGTGTTTTGGTTTCTGTTACCTTAGCCTCATCAGTGTTACTCGTTTTAGCTGCCTTCCGAATCGCCGAGTTGAAAAACGCGACATCAAGTTTAACTCGATGCTGTTTGGCGGCTCGCAGCAACAGCTGCAGGGACTGGTAGCCCGGCTCCACCAAGTCAGCCAGAAGAGTCAGAGTTCTGAGGTCCGGAGTGAGTCCGCTCGCTTCCATCTTCTCCAGAACACCTTTGGCTCCACCAATCAGGGCAAGCCGATCAGACGTCACATCCGCGGCGTTGAGTGAGAGCACAGATCCCTGGTGCCCTTCAAAAAGGTCCAGCAAGCTGGGTGTTACAGAATCAGCTGTAGGCAGTGGGACGGTTTCTGTTTGTCGGACCGGAACCAGATGGGTGGACTCTGTTCCCTCACTGTTGTCCTGCAGATGATCGTTACTGTGTGGCTCCTGCTGGAAGAACAGCTGCTTCTCCAGAAGGTCAAGGTCCACCACAGCCCTGCAGCGCTCCTTGGACGCGTCTTTGGTGTCTCTCCAGCTGTTGGACTCAGAACTCAGGAGAATATTTGTGGCTATGGCAGAATCACCGATCCCGCAATCCCGGGCAGTTCGTAAGAGCATGTTGTAGTTCTTTGAATCGGGAACGATTCCTGACCGCAGCATCTGCCGCCACACCTGTAACAGAGGAAGCACGATTTACATTTTCAGTTAAGGTTACACGAGAGATTTCGGCGTTGTTAGTGAGGTGTTTCATGATGTGCATCATTTGGTTTGAGGCGTGTCCGACTTTTCTACGTCCCAATCAGATCAGATCAAGCCAAATCCAGAAAAGCTGCTTGGACAGTGTCTCAAAGTTGAGGTGCATGCTATATCAACATCGGCCCAAATCTACATATCGGTGCACTTCAAAACTTACAACAAACCCAATCAATACAAGAGAGTTTTGTGTGTATCAGAGTTCACCTGTAAAGCCAGTCTGAAGCCCGTCTCCTTGTCTTTCAAACAGCCCATCAGCAGGTAGTGAAACGTCTCCTGAGTTACGGCGTGTCCATTCTGCAGCATCTCCTAAGAACAAGAACAAAGTAGCATAACAGAGCCTATACCGGAGGTATCTAACTCCTACACGAGAAGCAGGGCGTTCTACCCTCAGCGTGTGGATGCAGGCTTGAAGGTGGTTGGTGACGGCGTGAGTCTTGAGCAGAGCGTGGTACGTGATGGTACTCAGGGGGTAGCTTTTGCGACGGAGCTCTTGCTCAAGCTTCAGCGCTTGCTGGAGTCCGGCATGTTTTGACGGAGACTCGGCGCAGGCGTTGAACAGTGCTGTGTAGGTGGCATCTGAAGCCTCCAGACCTCGTTTCTTCATCTGGAGGAGGTATGCAAATAAGTGCACATTACTCAGGAGGCTGGTGGCTGTGTGAGAACATTATAATAGAAAGGGTTGCATGATGGGACTTCAAGCAGTTCTGTTGCTGTTTACAGTCATCCTCAATTAAAGAGCAAGTCACCCCCTGCCAGAGTCTAACTCCACTCCCCTTTCCTGTTTATAAAATGCGCCACAAGGAGGCATTGCCTGGCAGACCGAGAGGGTGAAGCGGCAAACAAATACACACACACACACTCAAAGCAGCATTGTGACATCATATGGTACCTCTTAGCCAATAGCGATGGCAGATTTAAATTTAAGTGTGATGTAGTTTTTACCTGAAGAGGGTGCAACAATGACTATGGACTGACTGAATATTAAATTTTAACTAAAGTGCCAAATTATTGTCTACAGCACAACACTCATTTATATAGTTTATCAGCAGAAAAAAGTTGATTTGGGGATGACTTGCTCCTTAAAGACCATGTTCACTTGTTTTTTCTATACATCTATAGTGGTCTTTAGAATAAATGAACAGCTTGTGAGTTGATCTCTGTGTGTGTGTGTGTGTGTGTGGGGGGGGGGGGGGGGGGGGGGGCTCTGGCATCTCCTGATTCAGGAAATAGAAGTTAGCCGAAGCAAAGGAGAGCAGAAAATAGCAGGATTTGGAGTCTTATTTCCTGATTTATAGATATCTCGCCTCTGATTGGCTAACAGTAACAAGACTCTACCACTGACTCTTATTTGCTTTGCAACATTTCTCCTGAAATAATACAAGCCTGAAGGAGTTCTGCTGTGTGGTGGAGTGGTAATACTAACAGTTAGCTTCTACTAGCTGAGGCGTGCTCTGCTCTCTACTGGATGCTAAACCAACAGCCTTCCCTTTCGCAAGCCCAGATGGGTGAATCTATTAATGCTAATTTTATGTGTGACGTAGATCTGACTGGCTTTTCTAATCCAAGCGTTTCCCTGTCCATTTGCTATCGGGGCTAAAGCAGGAAATGGGGCAGAAGACTATTTTCACTTTTATCCTGCATGTTAAACTCAGAGTGAATGATCACGTTTCAAAAATAACAAGTAAAACACAGTTTCTCAGTGAACTTGGTCTTTAACTGAACACAATGAAAGACCCTTTTAAAATATCATGAGTAACATGCTTAGAGACTAAATTACAGTGACTGAACATTTACCCTGTAATGAATATGATCTGAATACTTTAGCAGTTTGCAGCGTTGCATAAATTGTCAATTTTACTAGGGAGATGGATGGGGTAGTGTAGTTTTATTCCTACATCATTGTAAAGTTTGAAGGCCTTTTTGAGCTGTCCAGCTCGACCACAGCCTCCGATCAGGACAGAGTAGTTGTACTCCTCAGGCTGCAGCCTCTCCTCCTGTAGCATTTCTCTGCTGAACATATCCAGAGCTTCCTGTAGCTGTGAGAGAATAAAACACTAAATACATACGAATAAAAACAAGAGAGGAGGGAAAATTAAACAACCAGACTAACCTTGTTCTCTCTGATCAGCTTCTTGCACTGTAGGAAGTACCAGTAGGGAGTATTTCTCCTCCCAGGCCTCCTTCGGGGTTTGTCCAGGTCATCCGCCTCTTCTTCTTCGTCTCGGTGACGCAGGTCCCGGATGTCTGGACTGCTTTTCTTGAACGAACTCCTGGAGGTCAGGTCTTTGGAGAGGGATCCGAAAGTATCTTCTCTAGAAGAAGCTGACAGAGACGCAAACCGAGCAGCGTGTCCCGCGGAGAAACACCTCGATAGAGCAGGGGACAGTGTGGTTGGTGTCTGCCTGGCGGCTGACAGGATCCATAACCTGGAAACTGATATTTTAGTCCCGTGTCGCAGAGACGAACGGGCGGCGGCTGTCAACATCTTTAAACCTTTACGGTTACATGTAGATTTTCACCTCTATCGCAAACAGCAAGGTTAAAAAGAACACATCATATGTTCCGGGGGATTCCGCCAGGAGAGCCGAGAACTAACCACGACGTTTCAGTGACGCAGACTAGTTCAGACCTTAATAATAGATTTAAACAACACATTTGAAACTGTGTTAATACACTAAAAGTATGCACGTGTGTTCATATTCTACTTGAAACATCACATGCTTCTCCCTATTGTTAGGTTTGAGATTACAAAGTGAAAGTATAGTTAAAGCGGTCTAATAGACTATAGCGTTGATCGATTATTACGCCTATTCCGTTGCACTTTTAACACGCCTTTACCGCCCTCTGCTGGTCTAAAGACTTCATGCATGTCATGAAAAATAGAAAAATAGTTTTTAAGCCACATGAACTCCAGCAGAAATCTAATTTTATGGCATTTATCTTAAGTTTTGGGTTATTTCATAAATTAGTAATTTAACACATAATTTGTCACTTGCGTTTAAACAAAGTTCACATAATTGATAATCCAGTTTTCTTTTGGTGGTATTTAGACAACTGTAAGGTCATTTCTTACATGTTCCGGAGTTTTGAAACACTTTTAAAAATGAAAGAGAAAAATGGTCAATAGTCTATAGTAATCTTCTTTATTTAGCTCATTTAAGACTATAGAAATGGGGGAACAGTATATCAGAATGTTGATTTTGGATGGGCTGTTAAATAATCAAAAATTTACTTGGCAATATTAAAGTTCCTCACAGCTAACTATCCATTGTCTCTGGCTTCACCTCATATGTACATAATGCATAGTTATCCATTTCTCTCACACTACTGTGGCTTACTCTGCTGTAATAATTCAAACAAGACTGGAAAACAAATACAATATTTAAAAAAACTTGAATACATTTATTACATCATTTTGAAACAATTTCATTCCTTGTTATGGTTGGCACTTACTAAAAAGTGTAAATAATGTGGGTTATGACTGAGATGCACAAGTAGCACCATGCATGAGATGTCATCAACCAAACTAAACTCAAAGGCCAGAAAGAATACATTTCACACGAATGTAAACAATCATGGCTGATGATGACTTGCAAAAGAGTTGCCGATGTAGCTCTCAGGAACCTGAGGGAAGAGGAGCCTTTGATTTACTAGCTGTGTTTATAGTGACATCACAGTGGAGATAAGTGGGGCGGCTGTGCCACATGGCTCTGAAATAATGTTATCCGATCCAGCAGAGTGACTGGAATACATCTGATGACTGATGGCAGGTCTTCATGTTGTAGAGGATAGATGACCACGCTGAGTGCCCCACGCTTGGCGGAAAATCTAACAGGAAGAAAACAGATCAAAGAGCATCAATCAGCTGAACGGTGAAGGGTTCACAATGATGCTCTGTTTTAGACGTTGGCACAATTATGGAAACGATAACCTGTTCAGAAGAACTTTCTGAAGGCTCCGACACGACACCAAGGTGCCTCCCATGAACATGTGGCACATGACGACCTGGCAGCATCGCTCCATGAAGTTCTCTGCGGCTGACGCATCAAAGGTCCCGCTGCGGGAGACGAGGCAGAGCCGCTGCAGGCGAGAGCAGCAGGACAGGGCTTCAAAGAAAGACGCGTTGGCATTCAGGTAGGGCTGCTCCAACCTATGACAAAAACATCACCTCAATAAAAAAAATAAAGCACCTGAGCTTTAGCTGCTCAAAAATAAAAGATCAGAAATTAGAGATCACAACCAGTTTTACTCAGCTGCATCATATTAACATTTAATTTTGTTTTTACTGGTTCCAAACATCTTAAAAATAGAAAATAAACCACTTTTTTTTAAAAGGGAAAAGAACACTATAGGAATATTCTGACCTGAGTTCCTGCAGCTGTGTGCACTGTTTCAGTGTCTCCAGCAGAGCAGGGGAGTAATTCATAGTTTTCAAAGATCCCAGGTTGGCTAAAGACAAAACTCTTAAGTCTGTGCACCGTCTGGCCAGTTGTACCAGTCCTGTTCCTCTGAGAACTCCAGGAAGTCCAGCCAGAGACAAACGGCGCAACTGAGGCAAAGCTTCAAGTGCCGCCAAGTGTGCGTCTCCAACTTCCCTGGCCCAGGCGCACATACCACGAGGCTCCACGCTGGCACGAGTGCAGGGCTCGAGTCGAGGCAGCGCTGAGACAAACCCTGGCCCAATAACCTCTAAGGTTTCTAAAAAAGGGCAGCCAGCTACTAGCGAAGACAGCCCTGAAGTGCTGTCTCCTGAGAGAGAGGATTCTGAGTCAGGTCTGTAGTTCTGGAGCCCCACTCGAGGAGCTTTCTTCAGTCCCTGAAACAGCGCGGAGGTAGCTGAGCTGCAAGACGAGATGTGATTTGTGTTCACACCGTCAGACAGAGCGCATGCAGGCAGGGTGAGAGAGCGCAGCTGTTTGAATCGACCCAAACTGGTACACAGGTGTGTTTCTCCATCCAGCGCAAGTGTGTGTTCATGATGGTAGTGTGTGTGCATCAGATTCAGGTGCTTAATGTTGGAACAGACTTCAGCCAGCTGACTCAGGGTCACAGTAACCAGCTGATCTTCTACGCTCCTGCACTCGGAGTAAAGAACGTGGTTGATGCCGCTGAGGTTGAGGCTGATGAGCTCCGTGGCATCTCGGACTCCTCCGTTCAGAAGCGACTGGAACACCTGCGGCCACAGAGCGGGGCAACGGCTAAAGCTCAGGTGCTTGGGGCTGTTCCCCTCCAAGGCTCGCTTTAGAGAAAAAGAATCCAACCAGGATCGAGGGAGCTGCAGAGCCACCAGGTCTCCTCTTTGACCCAAACTTTGAGCCAGCGAGGAAGCAGCCGGCCAGTGAACCGGGTTTGGACCGGGAATCGACACGAGGAAAACTCTGAGATTCTTTGGAATGTGAACACTGAACACCGCCAGGTAAAGAAGGAGCAGCGTCTGGTTCACCTGCAGCCAACGAGACACGGAAACATCCCGTACAGTGTTACAGACAGGACTGGGTCTTGTTTAAATGATTACTAACACACTCACCTCTCCTGGAGCCAGTCTGGCTGTGAACTCCTCCAGCTGTTCGTAATGCGGTACACTGCTCTGACCAACCATTAACTGACAGCTAACACCCACACCCTCTCTGGTCACATCTGGGATGTCAAACTGCAGCATTAGCCTATCACACACACATACACACACACACACACCAGAGAACCAAATCTTTATATCTGTAACCCGGAAGCTTAAAACAGAAACTCACAAATAAGTAAATCCCATTCCAGTTGCTTGACAGTCATGGTAGCTAGGGTGAAGAGATATTTAAGGATGATGGCTTAAAAACAGCTAAATATAAGCATCTGTCTTGCAAGTCCTTACTTGCGAAGTTTTGCACAGCATGGCACAACACCATAGCTTGGTGTTAAGAGCGTCTGTTTGAGCTCCGTCAAGCGGCTCAGCGAGTCCACCGCTTTTGAACTGAGCAAAGCAGAGTTAAAGCACGGTCTCACATCAAACGCCAGGGATCTGAGAGAGGACAGAGAGGAGAGGAGGTGCGACAGACAGAGATAACTGATGCGACAGCCCGTCACATCGAGGTGTGTTACTGCTCTGCAGCGTGCCAAATGCTCCAGTGTGGAACCAGACAGCCAGTAGCAACCGTTCAGGCTGAGAGACAGCACGCTGTTGCCAAGCTTCTTCAGGATGTGTCGAACTAACCGATCATCAGCCTTAAAGAAAATGAAAAGTTAATGAGACAATCATGAAAAATTCCTCATCAGCACCAATCAAAAGAAATCAAACAGCTTTACCAGATATTCTTCAGACAACGTGACGTTTGAGAGCAGGGTTTTGTCGTGGCAGAGTGTGTAAAACTTCCGGCAGACAATTGCAACATTCGTCAGGCGGTCACACACTGGAACGTGATGAAGGATACACAGTAGGATCTCATCAGACAAGTTGGACATCCCAACAGACAGAGACGCTGTCTCTGAGTCCAAAACAGCCTGAGAACGACAGAAAGATGTCAGGCATGTGATTTGGGTGATCTTCGAGCTTTTTAAGACGTTGCCATTCTTCTTAACTTCTGTAACATTTTAGTACATGATTTTAATTAGAAAACAAAAAAGCATTACAATCTAAATGGCAACAAAATGCTGATACAAGTAGCCTGTTCATTTACAAACATGTTTTATTCATTTCATTGAATGTGGCAGCTCTGACACGAACATAAAATAAAATGCTTACAATCATATCTGATTGTTTCATAGTGCTAAGGACTGGGACTATCTTTCTGAGACCATACGCAGGGCAATTAGATGACAGACGGAAGATGTTAGAGTAAAAAAGTTAGCAACAATGTTCGCTTTAGCGATAAAATTTACATCATTTTTTTTATGTTCCGCGGTAACCAAGTAAAATCCGTCGCGTAGAGGTTTGGCGCAACACCTACTTGCAAAATCTGTCCATCCATTTCCTTTGTCGCTCTCTCCAAAGCCTTATCTAAGATTTCTAAACAGGAGACCTTCACCTAACAGGTGTTTCGATAAATAAAAATTTCGCTTTTACGTCTGAACCACAGGTTGCTGACCACGAAACACCTAGACGGAAGGATTTTACCGCTGCACTGCACATGACGGAAGTCACGGAACGATTACCCCTACGGACTTACTTCCTGTTAATCCAGGAAAAAAAATAAAAATAAAAAAACATCTGTGTTGTAGACACAGCAGGTTTTCACAAATGAACGCACAAACAGTGAAACAAAGATTTGTTTTACCTGGTCACGAATCCGTATATTTTTATTAACCTTTGCGTTTTAAGTCATCTCAAATCAAATCAAAGATACTTTATTAATCCCAGAGGGAAATTAGAGTTTCAGTACACACAATTCTGAGATCAGACATACATGGGCAAGACACATGACAAGAATTGGTGATTGTGGTCATTCGCAACCCTGAGTCACACTACCTTAATAGAGATAAGAGGGTTACATGAGTACTGGTTCAGGTGGAGGGAAAAAAAGGCACTTCAAAGTTAAGGTTGGTTTATGCTTGACGCATTCACTTTCCACTTGGTGATGCGGCTCGCGGATGGAACGCGCTTCACAACTCGCAGCGTTTATGGTTCGTGCGGCTCGTCTCTGCGGTGAGCCAATATTCTCTCAAACTGAACGGGGCTGCATGGAGCTCTACAGCATGCATCCAACACTACACCATAGTAGAAGTAAAAATTACTGTTGTTTACAACATGGCATTCCAGCAGTTTTAAACAGCGTTCTCGTCTTTTCCAACAGTGCGAGCTTCTCTCCAAGAAATATTAACAACATGTTGATCACGGTGATCTCTGAGAGCTGAATCATACAAATGTCTGTAGTTACGAACCTCTGCCTTACTAGATCTTGCCGGTCCGCCATGTTTTTCCACATCCGACCGTCCGGGTGGTTAGAAATTTTCCTAGGTGTGCAGTGCGGAATTTTGGGCCGTGCGGAGGCGCGGTGGAGGGGCGTGGTTGTTAAAATGACGCAATTTCGCCGCACGGACCTCGCGGACCAAGCTTTACCCTCTACCGGGAAGGCAGCATTGCGCTGCAAAAAAAAAAACACCTCAGACAGAGATATGCAACAGACTTCAGACAACACAACATAAGTGTTCACTAGGTGGGGTGGTGGGTATGGACTATCCCAACTTCAGTTCCTGCAGCCACGATGAAGCAGCGCATGGGGGTGGGGGGGTGGGTGGGGGGGCATTAAGGGTTGGAGGGTTGCAGTGACCCTGGATGCTTCAGCGGCCTTCCTGCTGTCCCGCCCAGGCTGGGAAAGGAGGTAGAGTTGAGTTGCCATAGCGACGATACATTCCACGTATCTTCTGAGGGGGGGGGGGGGGGGGGGGTTTGTTGGAGCCTCACAGGCTCAAGGACGCCAGATTCCAATTAGAAATTGTTTTGGGGCCAGACAGAGATAACTTCTTCTCTATCTTACAGTTTGTTGGTCCTCAACCTCTCAGAATCCCAATAATGGATGTTAATCTATCCCAATCCGTGCTGATTCGTCCACTCTCTCCTTGATGGCATCCATCTTTTGTGCCAAAGAATGAATCTCCGTCAAAGTCCCAAGCTTACGATTCATCTAGACAATTATTTGAGTCTGTGAATTCACAGCGCGGTGCAATCCATCTCTGAGCTCCGGGATCAGCCCAGTATTCCTCGACAGCTCGTTAATTTTCCGGTAAGCCAGGAAGCCTCCAAGGCCAATGAGCAGGAAACCTGACACCAACACCACGAATATCCACACATCTTCAGAGTCCTCCACAGACAGCTGAGATAAACAAATCAAGTTCCACTGTTTCCAGGAGTCCATGATGTGTCCAACTGGGTCTGTACCGGCAGGACATCCGGGAGCCCCTTCTCCCGTTCTCATCATTGAAAAAATTTTATCAATCGCGTTGAGAGACCAGCTGACGAGATCCATTTAAATGTATTTCAGTTTCCAGTTTCCAGAAAAATGCAGAAGCAGCCGTGCACCCAGCACACACAGACAGACAAAGGCCTTGAGGATAAGATATGGAGGAGAGGAGGAAAAAAAGCGTCTGCACCCTCCAAGAGCCGGAAGAAGAAATTTATTGTTTTTTATACAGTTTTTCTCAAGCAACCATTTTCTATGTTAGGCTGCGTATAGGAAGAAGCACAAAAAAAAGGTAACTGAAATTTTCAAAACAATGAAAACCGTACATGTTAAATGATGCACACATATCATGTAACAATCCCCTTCAGTGTGGTTGTAAAGCTGTTGAAGTAAATACAATCATATTCCAGAACGGTTTGTGAGCATGAGGACGAACTAAAATCCTTTAGACAAAGAAAACTTAAAATATATGCATTGTACAAAAAATAAGAATCAAAACAGATGAAATCTGCACTCATAAACCTACAGCGGCCTACTGGACTAAATTCCTGTTTATCTGATTAAGTTACTGACACTGTTAATAAGCTAACAGTAAAAATGTACAGTTGCAGGTTAGAAAAGTGTTTTTAACTATAATATGAATGTTGTAAACAGCTGTAAGAAGCCACCACGTGTGTTTTTGATGCTTCTGGCTTAATAAAAGGGGCGACTAAAACCAAAAAAGAAAGTTTGCGATAGCGTTGCAAATGAGACAAATTTACTTTCTGGAGAATCCAGAGTCAGGACTGGTTAGTTTTCAGGTGGAAACAGAAACCTCCCAAATGTGAGTGTTCTAGCCGGACAACAATGTTAACTTGATATTAATCAGTCTGATGTGAATTATTTTTGATAAATCAGGGCTCAAGTTTGAAGAGTTCAAAGCTTGCTGCACCCCCCACCCTCCCTCTCCAATAGACCATAATAAAAATATAACAGCTTTTCCTGTCTATCACACCAGGGTGTGAATGGATGAATGATACACTGTAGTGTAAAGCACTTTGGAGTCCTCTGACTCAGAAAAGCACTACACAAGTGTGGGTTATTTATCACTGATATGAATTATTTTCCCTTTTTATTAGTCCTCCTCTTTTTTCCTGTCTTTCCCTCCCTTTGAGGGCTTTCAATATTTGCTCTGCTTTCTTCTTCCTGTCAGTGCTCCTGTGCTTTAGCCTTTGTTTATTTTTTTATACATATTTTTTTCCCATTTTGGTCTATGTTTTCCTCCCTTTAAACATTTCCCATTGTCTTTCCTTTCTGCTTCCTTTGATGTTTACATTGAAAAACGACGTCACTTTCAGATGTGAAGATAAAAGCTTTTATGAAGCAAGATGCTTCTTTCTCTTATTGGAGCCACTAGGATAACTCCATTTCATGCTTAATGTTTCGACTACCGCTTCGAGTTTGTTACGAACGCTCCCGCCTCTCTTCGTAGGTGCCGCCTCTCTTCGCTAGGTCAGGGCTAGGGGGCCTTGTGTGGCCTTGTGTTGGGGGCTAGCGGGTCCCCAACACAAGGGGGCCCCAGGCAGTCGCCAACCTATGCCTAACGGTAAAACCGCCACTGTTATCACTTATAACAGTTTGTTTTGTGAATGAGGGCATGAACATGAGATCCACCATCTCTGTCAGCCTTTTGCCTAAAAAAATTGCCATTGGTGCTCAGAGTTCTTGTTTTTTTTCTTTGACCAAATACAATTATTCAGTGAGGGGTTCTTTTTTTTAACAGACTGGTAGATTCTTCTTTGAAGTGATTCAAATGGTTTTATAACAGAAAACAACCCACCCAACAAATCCAGGAAATGTAATGTTTTTTTAATAAACACAAGACCCTTTTTAAGTTTAAATGTGAGATTTACAGTCTTTCTCGACAAAATTTGATTCATCCGTTGAAGTTATTAGATACACTTTTTTTTAATGTGATCACATTTTTGTGACTTGCAAATACTTTAATGTTTTTTTCTACCGAGGTCATCCTTTGGATGATCCAGAGATTAGCTACGACTTGTTGATGGTTATGTTCCATGATCCAGTGGCACCACCCTGGATCGTCGGGGCAACTATCACGCTTCCTCCCTGAGCAGATACCATAGGAGCAGGAATCACAGCAGATGAGTTGGCGCTTGAAGATGTACCGGAGGGTGCAGGTGTAATCTCCCCTGCAGATAAAAATGCAGATAATTAACACACTTGTGTGTGGTCAGAAGCATAATTAAAGGCAAGTCTAAGAAACTCGTATTTACCTACATAAGCGTTCCTTAACTCCTCTGCAGTACCATTGAGGCCCTGTTCCTTCAGGACCTCTATGGTTATCGCCACAGCCTTGTCTTGACCATAGCTCTCTGTCATCTTAGTCACAACCTCTTCCCGAGTAGCTCCCTCTAGTTGAGACTTGGGAATTGGTGTATGACCCCTTGGGATCTCCAAATTCAGGTACCATTTAAATGTTTTAAAGTTGTCATTGGTCATGTTTTCCAGAGTCTGGAGGAGCAGCTTTTGAACCGACATGTTTGTTCACTAATCAGACAAAAACAACAAACAAAAAGGGAAAAATTATTCCGATGTTCTTTAGCCCCCTATTTCTACATTAAACAGATTTAGTGACCACATTTAACAGGAAATGTTAAAATCCAGGGAGTAGTTTTAAGTTAAATATTTAACTGTCCACTCAGACTGCTGTAAGGAGGAAGTAAAACTATCAGGGTCGCTTAACTGGTTCGATTTTAAAACTACGAATTCTTTCTTGATGTGCCAACACAGTGTTGGCAAATGTGCAGAACCCAGACAAATGCTTAGTAATTAAATGGGTTAACACATCCTTAAAAATTTTATTCTACATCAGATTTTCTGTCATTTCCTGCATATTAAAAGCGGCAGGCTACTGCAATGATTTAATATCAGAAACATTGTGGCCTCTGTCAGAAAAATACTGCCCGAATATTTTAGGCTATGTTAATTTGGATAAACTAATTAAAACCTCTCCGTCATGAGGGTTATTTTGGGGAAAAAATCCTTATAGAAGTTATGTGAGCTGATCTGAAGGATGGAGATGAGGAAGTATTAAAGAGCTCCAACAGCATAAAACATCTGGATTAGTGATAATCTACACCTGGAGACAGAAGTGAGAGATACTTTTACAATAATTAAAGTGTTTAACTTTATTGCATCGTTAAATGTTTAAAGACTTGAGACATAAATAAAACCGACCCAATGGGACTCGCTGATGAGAGAAAGTAGTTTTTACGCACCTTGGACGGATAATGGATGAGCTAACAGAGGAGTGCGCAGGCAGCAGGGCGCACTTTAAAAGTTTTACTTGTTTTCAGATGATTTTGAATCCACTGTGACCCAAAAACTCACACCAGAAAACAAAACGGAAAGAACGTGGAGCTTTTCTCTCATACTTTCGGTTTCTGTCCGACAGGAAGTCGGTGAAAATGACAATATTTTTTTCATTATTTTATTATATGTTAAAAAATGAAGATATGGCTTTAATTGTCATTTTTATTTAAATTGTAAAATATAACATTAATTGAAGCTTTTTGCGTCCACAGTGGAAAAAGTTTTAAAAAGACTAAATTGTTGATAAAATAAAACAAGGCAATGAAATATAGGCTAATTTAAATTATAGTTGAACTAATGGTGATTTGTGATGGATTAACGGTTAGATCTCAATAGTAGCCAGTTGGATCATTAAGGTTTAAACTGAATCTTAGGTCTGGGTGATGAAGAGTTTTCCTTCCAAATAATCCCTTTTCTCCTTTAAGTGTTCTGAATGTGGATTCTGCTGCCAACAAATACTCCACAGCAAAGTTGTCTTTAATTAAAACATTAATTAGGTGTGATGACATCACATGAAGTGTGATCTGTATCACCCGAGAGGAAGACTACTGAGGACAGGACACAGAAGTGACAAAATAACGTTTAGCGCTCATAACAAGCGGACTCTCAGCGCTTTGCTCATAAAACAGAAGACCTGCAGGCCTCTGTGAGTTAAAACATCCTGATACTGTTCAGGTGTAAACATTGAGCTCCATCCCTGTGTTTGAACTCAGAAGTTGCTTCTTGATGCCACAGATATGTGATGATTTAGCTTGTTTCTTTATTTTACTCCAGAATAAGAGATTAAATTATTACAAAAGCAGTTCAATGTAGTTAAATTAGTTATTCAAAAGATTCTAACACGCTGCAGTGTGCATGTGTTTGTGTGTGTGGGTGCGTGCGTGCGTGCGTGTGCATGTGTGTGTGGGTGCGTGCGTGCATATGTGTGCGTGTGTGTGTGTGTGTGTGTTACACATATAGGACTGCATGAGAATGCATGGTTTCATCAAATCCATGCATCTTATTTCTTGGCTGAAGTAATGGCTCAGGAAAATAACATATATTTCATAAATAATGACGTCTCTGCAGTGTTTATGATAATGTTGTATCTTATATTGGACCTATCTTTGGTCTGGGAGGTGTAACATATCATGATACAAGCCTTTTAAAACATGTTAAAGTGTTACAAGAGGAGATTAATGCATGAATTTAAAGTTCATGTTTGGAGTTTGGAGGCTCACGCTGGTGAGGAGACACCATTAGTTCTAGTAACACCTGGGCTCCAAAGGCCTAATCAGGCAGTCTGTGAAAAGATGAAATATCTTGGACACTTTATCACAGCCAATATGAGCGGCGATGATGATATTTACAGGCAGTGCTGCAAGCTATATGTGCAAGCAAACACCATTGCACGGACATTCAGCTGTTGTTCCACACCTGTTAAAGTGGCATTATTTAAAGCATACTGCACACCACTCTATACTGCACATCTGTGGTCATTCTATAAAAAGTCTAGCTTGCACAGGTTACAAGTTGCATACAATGATGCAACGAGAATCCTCCTCAAAACTCCCAGGGGAGGCAGTGCTAGTCAAACGTTTGTTTCTGTGAGCGTGTGCACATTTAAGGCACTTCTAAGAAATTTAATGTTCAAGTTAATGACACGGCTGCAAGAGTCTTCCAATAGTATAGTCGCACTCTCAAATCCCACTGTGAGCTGCTCTTGTTATATGTCTAGGCTGAGAATGCACTGGTTAAAATGTTTGGGTGGATTTATCTCAACTAGTTAGTTTTGTTGTCCCTTACCTCCACTGCAGTTATATCCTGTGATTTTATACAGGCTTTTATTGGTATCAATGTTAATTGGTATGCTTTCTTTTCTTGTGTTTTTCTTGTATATTTTTCTTTTATCTGTATGTTTCTTTTAAAATGGACTTTAAGTCTGGCAATAAACATATTGTAAATCAGCTGCGTTCATGATTTAAAACATGCAGGAGATGTGCTGGAAGCAGACTGCAGCTCCAGGTATGTCAGCTCAATATTTGTTTAAGTCCCAACAGAGCCAACTGCCAGTCTGGAGTAGAAAGTAGAACATTCTGGCCAAAGGGGTGCGATATGTGCTGGGTGGCTGTTCATTAACCCTCTAAAACAGGAGTATTCGATTCCGGTCCTGGAGGGCCGGTATCCAGCAAGTTTTAGTGGTTTCTCTGCTCCAATATGTTTGATTCAGTGGTTTAATCACCTGTGCAGCAGTTCAGGGTCTGCAGAAGCTTAACCCCGTAAATTTCCAGCGCAATGGGGTTTTGTCCCTCGGGCGGGACGCTGGAATGCTAAGGAGTTAATCGCCTGCTGGTTGAAATCAGGTGTGTCGAAACGGAGTTAAAACTAAAACGTGCTTGATACCGGCCCTCCAGGCTGGGAACTTCATACCACTGCTGTTAACGGTCACTTTAGCACACACTGGCTCAAGAACATTTTAAAATATGAAAAAAATTCATATCATGGCTTTAAAATGTGTGTAGGACTCCGACATAGGGTTCAGACGTTTTGCTGCAACTGTAAACACAATTTTCTGTAATTATTGAATATGAAGTTGATTAAAATACAGCTAAACACGACGTACTAGCGGTATGAGCTGCCCTGTAAGACATCTTTTTAGTGACGTATGACAAACAGCTCTTCACTGTTTAGAGGAAGTTAGATTTTTATGATGATTTATGACAAAATTCCTTAAAATGAATAACTGAACCTAGTTTATCTTTATGTAGACGGTAAAGTGTAGTGAAACAGCGTTAGTCTCAGTCGGCATAAGCAGCAGGGCCCTGCAGGGAATCGAACCCCGTCTCATTACTGAGAGTTCCGTTACCAGAGCCTTTTGCTTTGGGCGACCGGAGACGGTAAAGCAAAACCTGCATCAACACAGCATTTAATGTTGGAACATAAATTCTGTCTTGAAAAAGAAACCGTCAGACTAAAAAATTATTTCTAATTAAATTCATTTTAGTATTTTATAAACGTTTTACAGATTTAGAGCCTCCTTTGACTTTTATGCTTTTCGTTAACTTCTCGTTCTTTTACGATGTTTATCCGTTCTTTAGTCGCGGTCAAACGCATCGTAATTTTGTTCTGCGGTGAATCTTAAAGTTATGTTGAATGTAAATAATCTGAGTCTTCATTGCTTTAATTTAACAGCACAGTAACTTGTTAAAATATTCAAGTTAATTTGAATCATTTACATGTTTAGACTATATTTTATTAGCCTTTAATATTTTAGTATTTATTGTTTAACTTTTGTAAAGAGCTATTTTTAAACGCGTGCACATTTAAACACTAAAACCTTTGTTTGCTCCGTCTGTGTCAGAGCTCTGCTGTTCAGCTCCTTCCTGGTTCCTGCAGGACCACAAAGCCCAGAGAAGCTCAGTCCAGCAGGACGTGAGGACACAAACAGACACGGAGAGCTCCTCCTAAACCTGGAATCAAACTTTTCTACAGATTATTTAGAACAGTTTCTTGTGGCAGAACAGTTAGTGAAACAGAAAGGACATGATGATGATGATGTTATCGTCCTTGTCTTTCATACGGATCAAAGATCACCCCAGCTTATGCTCATGTCACCAAGTAAACGTCCCATTTCTCACTAAGACCTGCTCTATCTGCTCTACCAGATTATCAGAAGCATCACTGTAGTTGTAGTTTTGCCTCCATCTTCCTGCCCTCCTTGGTCTCTTGTTTATCTTCTACCACCTCTCACCATCCATCTCAGGTGGGATCTTGTTTGCTCCGACGGCCTCTTGTGTTCCAGGCTTACATCTTTTAGTGAACGTTAGAATATCATGTACTAATATATATGCATGTGTGTGTGTGTGTGTGTGTGTGTGTGTGGGTGTGGGTGTGTGGGTGTGTGGTATGACGCTAAACCAGACTGCCTGCTCCATCAGATGAAAAGAAATCCTCTCAGAACCCAAATAAAATAGAAGATTTAGCAACCAGACACAGAAGCCCAGGTGAAACCGTCCACATCAGCATCTCCAGTTCTACCAGCTCTAAAAACACACTTCTTAAATAATAAAACACTAAACTCAGCCAACGGATGAAGACGTCCTGGTGCCAGATGCTACCTAAGACATCACCAGTTCAGCTGACTTGATAAAACACTTGGTGACTAAAACAAACATCTGGTGACCTGGTAAAAAACAGTCCTGGTGCAACAAGCTACCTGAGACAAACCTTTCCAGTCGACCAGTTCAAGAAAGAAAGAAAGAAATGATCTTCAGTGGCGCTGCACTGAAAAAAAAAAAGATATCTCTAGTCCGAGTCGGAGTCGTCTGAGTCGTCCCATCTTGGTCTCTTCGGTGGGATGTACGGGAAGCGCTCTCCAGTCCTCTTCTGGATGGATCCAATGACCGAGGTAGAAGGAGTGGGTTCTTCTACATCCTGGTCCTCTTCAGCGCTCCCGTGGGCAGGCCTGGGATCTTCTGGAAGCTCTTCCGACGGGGCCGGAGGAGCTACCGCCAGCCAGAAGTCTTCTGGTGGTGGAAGCTGCTGGTCTTCATCGCTATCCAGAACTGAGCTACCATAACCAGAGTCTACACTAGAAGCCATAAAATCTTCTAAAGCTGACCAATCTGAGCTACTGTCAGTCTCCTCCAACTCCTCATCACTACTCAGACCCTCAATAGCAAACTCTGCCTCTACTGGAGGAGCCTGACCATGACCCACAAACACATCATCATCAGGAATGTGAAGGGCTGGGTACCTACCTTCATCTTCATCGAGAATCCGGATGACCTCAGGGGCCGCTGCAGTCACGGGACGCTCCACGATGAAGATGCCTGTGAGGACAAAACAAGACACATTAAATCCACTTGTGTCATAAAACTGTTATGAAAAAGCTATAATGACTTGTTTACAATACAAGAGATGTGTGTCTGCATCTGCATGTGTGCACAAGACACACTTTACTAATCTGGTTGTTTTTGGGGGTTTAACAGGTTAAAACCGAGTTCTGCTTTTACTGAAAAAGTTTCCATTTTTAATTTATGTGATTGTTTATTATTTATGTTTCATGTTTATAGCTGATGTATTTCTAAAAA